CTTCGGGGATATGAAAACTGTGTACATTAAAAATAAAACTCTGAATTGTGGCCAGGTGTGGTGTCAGATGCCTGTAATCCCAGCACTTGGGAGGCTGAGGCAGGAGGATCAGTACGGGTTCTGTTCCAGCCTGGGCTACACAGTGAGCTCAAGGCCAGTGAGACCTTGTCTCAAAAACAAATAGATGAACAATAAAAGAAAGAAAGAAAACCTAGGAAAAATTACAAAGACTGAGTCACAATTAAAATGGAGATAAGTAAGCTGGGCATGGTGGCTCAGGCCTGTAATCTGTAATCCCAGCACTCGGGAGGCTGAGGTGGGAGGATAGTTGCAAGTTCGAGACCAGCCTTGGCTACAAAGTGAACTCAAGGCCAGCCTGAACTGCATGGCGAGACCCCATCTCAAAAAAGACCAAAAAAAGGGGGCTGGGGATTTAACTCAGTGGCTTAAGTGCCTGCCTTGCAAGCAGGCAGTCGTGAGTTTGATCCCCGGTACTGGTAAAAACGAAAAAAACAAACAAACAAAAAAAGACCAAAAAAAAAATGGAGATAAGTTCTAAACTTAGAATTAAATAAAAGTTGTTTTAGGATTATTTCCCTTCATTATTTTAAGTACTGACTTTTAGACTGCAGATTCAGCTTAGAAGGTGCTGTCTTCCTGGGTCCTGAGATGTGGCCTTGAGCCCCCAGAGCGTCACTGTGGAGCAGTGTTCTCCAGAGGTCTGAACTTGAGAGTTCTTGTGTTTTGGGCATTAGATCGTCAGGTTCTACAGGAGATTTTACACTGAATTCTTATGCCCTCACAGAGCAAATCATGGTCCTTTTTCTACTGAGTGTGGTGATAGAATGCCTGGCATACCAGCACTCCCAGCACTGGGGAGGCAGAAGCCTGGAAATTGTGAATTCAAGGGATCCTGTCTCACAAAAGCAAAATGAAACAAAACCAACCAGACATGTTTGGCACATGCCTGTTCCCCAGCACTCTGGGAGGCCGAGACAGGAGGATTGAGACCAGCCTGGGCAACTTAATGATACAGTGAGACCTGTCTCAAAAAAAAAAAAAAAAAAAAAAAGTACTGGGAATGTAGTTTAGTTCAAAGGCCCTTGGTTCAATTCCCAGAACCACAAAATCCCAAACAAAACAACCTCCAAAATGCTGTGGTCAATTAGAATAAACGGGGACCAGGTATCTTGTGTCACTTGGAGAAGAGGGCATAGAGCGTCCTTTCTCCCTTTCCTCCTTCCCTCTTCCTTCCTTTTGGGGGGGGGGGATATTGGAGATAGAACCTAGGGAGTGCTAAGCTACATCCCCAGTCTTTTTTGCTTTTATTTGGAGACAGAGTCTGTCTTTGTTACTTTCTTGTTGCTGGGGCAAAATATCTGATACCCACAGGTTAAAGGAGGAGAGTTTTGCTTTGTTTCACAGTTTGTAGAGGTTTCAGTCCACAGCTGGCTGGCTCTAAGGGAGGCTCTAAGCGTGGCAGAGAGAAACTGCTCATGGCATGGCAGCAGGAAGCAGAGAGATCACAGGAGGAGGGTCACATGTCCTGCCAGGCCACGCCTACAGGGATGCACCTCTTCCCGCCGCTTTCACCTCCCAATGTCATATCCAGCTATAGCCTGTCAGTGACGAGTCTCATGCACCCATGATCCTGAAACCTCCTAAAAGACCCACCTGTGAGTACATGAGGCTTTGGAGGGACACCAAGATATATAACCATAACAGGGCCTCAGTAAATTGCCCAGGGGGACCTGGGACTTGGGACTGTCTTACCTCAACTGCAGCTGGGATCACAGGTGTGCACCACTGTGCTTGAATGGCCAGCATGGGGAAATGTGTGATCTGCAGGACAGTCCAGGTAAGGGAGTAGTGTCAGTGGCCCTTGGCATCTGAGAGAGCAAGGCTCTGGCCATCACGGGACAGGTGCGAGAGGATGCGCGGCCTCTGAGGCTGCTTCCCTTGGTCGCTGAGGAATCTCTGGGTGTAGTTGTGGCTAATTTCTAGTTCCACCAATGCATCTGGGGCTATGCACACTAAGAACTGGAAAGGAGTGTGAACAGTGTGGCTTTTGGGCTCACAAGTGTGAGTTGACTTAGACTTTTAGTTTTACTTCTCAGAAATTACTTAACCTTACTTTAACCTTTGAGATCAGTTTGTGTACTTTTGAATTCTTCACTGTGATGGGCTGCAGAAAAACCCCTTTCATTAAGAAATGTGTTTACTTTCTGCAGCATGATACATTTGTTATTTTAAGTGTATTCTTTTTTTTTTTTTTTAAAGCCAGTCAAATTTAGCAGTGGGGGGGTGGTATACCAACTTTAGTGACACTAATGTTAATAAGTTCTGATAACCCACTGCCATCGGACCAGCCTTAAGTGTATTCTTGTCAGTCTTTTAGTTTTCTGATATTGCTTTTATTCTGTATCCATTTAAACCTTTGTTTTTTTTTTTTTTTTTTTTTTGAGTTCTTCTTTTTTCAAAAACACTTTTAGGCCTGGGAATGTAGGTCAGAGGTAGACCATTGCTTACTTAGTGTGTTTGAGGACCTGGGTTCCATCTCCAGCACCACAAACACTCCCAATTCTTTTAATTAATCTGGAATTTAGTGTATAGTGAGGCTAGGAGTACTACCTTTCTCTTCTTCTTTTTTTTCTTCTCTCTCTGTGTCTGTCTGTGTCTCTTTGAGATGAGGACACACTAGATTGGCTAGACTGGCCTTAAACTCCTGATATTAAACAGTCTCTCTTCCTTAGTTTCTCAGCAATGCGACCACAAGTGTACCATGCCTGACTTCGCAGATTCTTTTTTAAGAGCAAGCAGCAAGGGGCTGGGGATTTAGCTCAGCGGCATAAGTGTCTGCTTGGAAGTGCGTGGTTGTGAGTTCGATCCCTGGTACCAGTAAAAACAAGCAAAAAAAAAAAAAGAGTAAGCAGCAAAACTGCCTTAAGGGGCTGGGGATGTAGTTCAGCTGGGTGGTGCCTGCCTGGCAAGCGCAAGGCCCTAAGTTCAAGTGCTGGTACCAAAAAAACAAATGAAAAAACCAAAAGTGCCTTAAGGACCTGTTTTTTTTTTTTTCCTTTGCTTCTTTCAAATGTATTCCTTGTTCTTGTAGATCTTTAGCGTTTTAGCAAGGGTGACTGACAGTTGTCAACTAGTGTTCTATGTTTCTTTCTTTTTTTTTTTTTGGTACCATGGATTGAACTCGTGACCTTGCACTAAATCCCCATCCTGTTTTATGTTTCTTTTTTTGAAGGATATATATATATTTTTTTGTCTTTTTCCTTTTTTATCGGTACCAGGGATCGAACTCACGACTGCTTGCTTGCAAGGCAGGCGCTTATGCCACTGAGCTAAATCTCCAGCCCCAAGAATTGAATATATTTATTGAGAGAAAGAAAGCTTCTGTCTGAACAGAGACAGAAGGGGGTCCTGAACGGGTTGCCCTATTTTATGTTCCTTTCTTTTTTTTTTTTTTAACTTTTTATCTGTACCGGGGATCGAACTCACGACTGCCTGCTTCCAAAGGCAGGTGCTTATGCCGCTGAGCTAAACCCCCAGCCCCTATGTTTTTTTCTTAAGGAGTTCAAATTTATTTCTTTCTGGTGTGTGTGTGTGTGTGTGTGTGTGTGTGTGCACGTGTGTACACATGCATGCATGTATGTAGTGCTGGGAATGGAACCTAAGGTCTAATGCATACCTAGGCAAGTGCTATAGTGCTGTACTGAGCTACACCTCCGTCCCTAGTTTCTTTAAATAACTTAAGTGGACTTTTTATTCAGGTCGCATCTATTGGTGATTAAGTCTATAAAAATTTTTTGGGGAGGGCCTGGGATTTAGCTCAATGGCATAAGTGCCTGCCTGGTAAGCATGAGGTTGTGAGTTCAATCCCTGGTATAAAAAAAAAATTTTTTTTTCCATGTAAGTCATACCTTTGATGGTTGTCACCTGGGAAAGAGAATACATGTTGTATCCATTGGCTGTGGCTTCCTGGGTTTTTGTCTATTGACTGTCTTGTTGCATAACTCTGCCTCTCTCATACAAGTCTGGCTCTTTTTTATTCTTACTTGTCCTTGTATGTCTCCACTGAGTTATTATTACTATTATTATTATTTTTTTTTTTCCTTCTTGCATGACCACTTCCTAAGGCTTTGTCTGCTTAAATATATTATTGAGAATTTTGTATGAGCTTTACCATTGCTGGGACACAATATCCATCGTCTTCAAATTAAACGAGGTTTTATTTGGCTCATGGTGTCAGGCAGAAACATCGTGGTAGAAGGGCCTGGTGGAGCAAAAGTGCTTTATTCATGGAACTGGGAAGCAGAGCAGGGGAACAGAGGTACAGTAGAAGGAGCTGGGGACCATGTGTAGTCCCCAAGGTCACACCTCCGTGACCTACCCAGATACACTCATAAGTGTGCTTTAGTAAGCTCTTGGGATTTCAACCCAATTAGGCTGACACAATTAAGGTGAAAACCATCACAGATTTAGTGTTCTTTTTGCCTTTCACTGAGTAAAGCTTGCAAACACTAAGACTGTTCCCTGGGGCTGTGTATTTTGGGAGTACCATTTGAATGTTATGCCGCTCTTAATCTTTGGCATTAATTCTAGTTGTTGTTCTTAAAAATAATTTAAAAAGGGGGCTGGGGATTTAGCTCAGCGGTATAAGTGCCTGCCTTGCAAGCAGGCAGTCGTGAGTTCGATCCCTGGTACCGATAAAAAGGAAAAAAGACAAAAAAAAAAAAAAACAAAAACAAACAAACAAACAAAAAAAAATAATTTAAAAAACATAAACCCAAAAAGCAATTAAATGGGTGTACAAAGGAAAAATAGGAACACTTACAGAATTTAATATTTAAGATCACAAATTATAATTCTGTGTATTTATTATTTACCTATAAAATGTAATTTAAAAGCATTTACAAATGTTGACTGTCCAGCAGTGTGACAGAAGTGAAGCCGTTGACAAGATGTCTAATTCTTTTCCTTCTGCATTCTAGAATGTATGACAACATGTCCACGATGGTGTACATAAAGGAAGACAAGTTGGAGAAGCTCACACAGGATGAAATCATCTCTAAGACAAAGCAAGTGATCCAGGGGCTGGAGGCGCTGAAGAATGAGCACAACTCCATCTTGCAGAGTCTGCTGGAGACGCTCAAGTGCTTGAAGAAGGATGACGAGAGCAACCTGGTGGAGGAGAAGTCCAACATGATCCGGAAGTCCCTGGAGATGCTGGAGCTCGGCCTGAGCGAGGCGCAGGTGGGTGGCAGCGGCTCAGGCCAGGCCCTGCGACAGACAGCATGGGCCTGGAGAACAGCATCTGACCTGAGAGGAGTGGCCATTCCTCTACAAGCTGTGTCTTTACCTAATTGGTCTTGGAGTTGAGCCTGTCAGAATGTTTCAAATTTATTATTATGTTTCTTTACCTTTTCAATTTTGGTTTTTTGAGACAGAATCTCTCTATACAGTTCAGGCTATCCTTAAACTCACTATGTAGCCAAGGCTGACCTCAAACACATGGTGATCCTCCTGCCTCAGCCTCCTGAGTATGGGCTTATGGGTGTGTGCCATCATGCTTGCCACATGTATTATTATTTTTGTGGTACTGGGGATTGAACCCAGAGCTTTTGAATTTATTTATTTTATTTTTTATTTTTCCAGTACTGGGGATTAAACTCATGACCTCGCGCTTGCTAGGCAGACGCTTACGTTGCTGAGCTAAATCCCCAGCCCTTTAAAAAAATTTTTATCAGTACTGGGGATCAAACTCACGACCACCTGCTTGCAAGGCAGGTGCTTATGCCGCTGAGCTAAATCCCCAGCCCCTAAAATTTTTTTTTTAAGAACCCAGAGCCCTTGGATTGAGTTACATCACTAGCTTTTTTTTTTTTTTTTGGTACCAGAAATCAAAGTCAGGACCTTGTGCTTGCCAGGCAGGCACTGATGCTGCTAAGCTATATACCTGGTCCTACCAGCACTTTTAAACTAATTAATTTTACCTATTTAAAATTTTAAGTCAAAATGTTATTTAGAGGGTCTTGCTAAGTTGTCCAAACTGGGCTTGAATTTGTGATCCTCTGTTTCAGCCTCTTGAATAGTTGGGATTACAGGGTAATGCCAGTGTGCCCAGCTTGAATTTTCAGTAGAGGTCCACTGTGTATCATTTAGGGTTGAATTTGCCGCCCCCTCCAAACTGAGCTACAAGGTAGCTGTTCTAGCTGTGGGGCTGCCAGGTCATCAGGGCTCCCAGACTCCTGCCTCTCTGCACTGCATGCTAGGAGCATTTTAGGGCCCAGGGAGGGCATCCCTTGCGGCAGCCACAGGGTTGTGCTGGGACTGGAGAAAGGAGTGCTGCTGTCTAGGGTTTCACTACCAGGAGAGCCATTCTGGCCCCAACTGGGGACGCTGGAGGAAGGGGTTTGAGGGACATGTGGTGGCGGTGGCGGCTCCATGGTTCCCAGGGTCCAGCTGTTTTAATGTTTCTGACTTGTTTGATGTAGAGAGGAAAACAGTGGAAATGTCTGGGTCTTGGCTCCCCTGGTCACTTCTGGCTCTGCCAACAAATCTTAGGTCAAATTCAGTCCCACAGAGACTTGGCTTCTTGCTTCCTGCTCATGCAGCGAGTGGAGGAGGTAGAGAAAGAGCCGCTGTGCCAGTTTGCTTTTGGAGAGGAAGTGAGCCCTGGGACCCCCTTTCAGGGCTCTTCATGTCAGCCACGTCCAGGCAGTGGTAGTAGACCTTTAACACTGCTTGGGTTTGTAGGCCTTCCTACTCCCAAGCTCTGCGTTGGCAGGTGTGGTGAAGGTGGGCTTCCTTTTTGGGCTTGGCAAATGATGGGTTTTACAAGATAAGGAAGCAAAACCCTGCTGTGCCGAGCTTCTGTTTGACATGTGGGGGTGGGAAAGAGTTCCAGTGTCCTGAGAAGGGAGGACAGAGCGACAGTGTGTGCAGAGAAGTGCTGAAGCTGGCTGGCTTCCACTCTCCCACCCTCAGGAGCTGCCACGTTCCCCACCAGGGAGCTGCAGGCTGTGGCCGTGCTGGGGTCTCCTTCCCTCACTTCCTGTGGTTAAGGTGGCATGTCTGCCCTTCTGATGAGGCCACTGCCCCTGCCTGCCAGCCTCCTGTGACACATGTGTGCATATATATTTCATGCAAAGAGCGTGTGGAAAGTTAGATAGAAACCGGCATGTCATGAGTGTGGCCAGGTTCACTGCTTGTCCTAGGGGTGCCCTCTCGTGGAAAGAAGAGGTGCTTTTTGTGGATGTCCTAGGTGCGAGCAGCCTGTGGTGGAGAGGTGAAGGCAGGATGGATTGTAGGTTGTCTATGCGTGTGTGTAAGCTGGTGCCTTTCTTGCGGATTCTGCAGTTAAAACATCTCTCTGTCCAGGTAATGATGGCTCTGTCAAATCACCTGAACGCCGTTGAGTCGGAGAAGCAGAAACTACGAGCTCAAGTCCGCCGTCTATGCCAAGAGAACCAGTGGCTGCGGGATGAGCTGGCCAACACTCAGCAGAAGTTACAGAAGAGCGAGCAGTCGGTGGCGCAGCTGGAGGAGGAGAAGAAGCACCTAGAGTTCATGAACCAGCTGAAGAAGTATGATGACGACATTTCCCCCTCGGTGAGTGCCTGTAGCGGCTGAAGTGCTCACTCACGCTGCCCTCTGGCCAGCCAGTCTGCACGGGACCTGGCAGTTCTGCGCGCTGTGTGCTCTCCTGCGTGTCCCCAGAGTAGTGGTCTGGACATGGGAAGGTGCTTCGTGAACGCAGGACTCTCCAGCCCATCCCAGGGGCTGCACCCTCGAGTGCCCTCTGTGTCTGTGCTGCACAGAGTGGCTGCCCTGCTGGGTCCCTGGCCTGGTCCCTTGCTGCATCTCCTGGCACCTGTGGGCTCAACTGTCTTGCTTTGTGCTCTCCTGCCCTTGGGCAGCATCTGGTTGTCCTGTCTCTCTCGTGTCTCTTTGGCATCCCTTGCTTGCTTCCCTTTCTGCTGCTAAAGTGTTGGGGGTCTTCAGGGGTCTTGGCTGTTCTTTCTCTATGGGGTTTTCTGGGTTATTCATCCTCATCTCAATTGTTTTTCACCCATCATGTTCTTTTTTTTTTGTCTTTTTGAGACAGGGTCTTGCTATGCAGTTCAGGCTGGCCTTGAGCTCACTTTGTAGCCTAGGCTGGTCTTGAACCTGCAATGATCCTCCTGCCTCAGCCTCCTCCTGTCTCAGCCTCCCGAGTGCTGGGATTATAGGCGTGAGCCACCATGCCTAGCCATCATGTTTTTTTTTTTTTTTTTTGTCTTTTTGCTTTTTATCGGTACCGGGATTGAACTCACAACTGCCTGCTTGCAAGGCAGGCAATTATGCCGCTGAGCTAAATCCCCAGCCCCCCATCATGTATTTTTTAATTCCATTAGTTTGTCTGCCTATCTTCTCCCTTCTGTCCTCCCATTCATTCTCTGTCTCTCTCTTTATGTCTCTGTCTCTGTCTCTGTCTGTCTCTCTGTGTTTCTCTTTCTTGTACTGGGGTCTGAATCCAGGGCCATCTCACTGAGCCAAATGTCAGGCTTTGTTTGATTTTTTTATTTTGAGGCAGGGTCTTGCTAAGTTGCCCAGGCTACACTCAAACTTATGGTTTTCCTGCCTCAGACCCCTGAGTGCTGGGATTACAGGTTTGCACCCCTGCTGTTTGCTTTTTTAAAAAATTGTAAAATTTTAGAGTAATTTTAGATGGACAGAAAAACAGAAGTGAAGATAGTTCCTGTGTACCCTTCACCCTATTCTCCCTAATAGTAACATCTTACATAGTTGTAGAACCTTTCCCAGAATTAAGAAGTTTGACATTGTCATGTTACCATTAATTGAAGCAGACTCTTGGGCTTTGCCAGTCCTCCCAGGAGAGTCCACCTCCTGTCCCTGGCTCCACAGTCAGCTCAGGCACATGCACAGGTGCATTCTGTGCCCAGTGCAGTCCCCTCTGTGCCTCTGGTCTGAAGCCCTTTGCAGTGGCCGTTTGTGGTCTTATTCCTGGGCCACTGTAGGCAGTGGCTTGGCCCCTCATTTTCTCTCAGTGCCAGAGCTCGAGGTCTGGTTGAAGGCGGGACCAGCAGTGTTGGTGCTGGTGAGGGCACTGTGCTGACCTGCAGGTGGCCACCCTCATGCTGTGCCCCACGTGGTGGGGAGAGAGCCCTCTGCATTCACTGTCCAGAGGACCTGAGGACCGTCATGAGGTTCCACCCTCTGATTTTCTAACCCATATCCACTCTGAAGCCCTGTCTTCAAGTAGCATCCCGTGGGAGCCATGTCAGTGGGCACCGTGGCAGGGTGGCACTGGCAGTTACCAGGCTCCTGTGTTACCAGGCTCCTGTGTTGCCTCAAGTGGCCTCCACGTCAGGTGGCACCTGATGTTCTGACGTGGGTCACTGTTGGGTGAGAGTACTTGGATGTGTTGGTGCCAGCCAGTGGGTCACAAGCGACACTGGGCAGAAGAGCTGACTTCACAAATTCAGAGCCTTTTTAAGCTATTTATTTGGTTTTTCCTCGTATTTATTCATTTTCCAGTATTGAAAATTGAACTTAGAGATTTCCCACTGAGCTATAGCCCAATGATCCCACCCCCCTTTTTTAATTTTAAAGCCAGGTCTTCCTAAATAAGTTATAAATTGCCCAGTCTGGATTCAGCTGTGCAGTCCTCCTGTCTCAACCTTGCAGAGTGCTGGGATTTTTTTTTTCTTTATTTTAAAGGGGATAAAATTAAACACAACAAAACAGAACAAAATAGGACATAAGAAAGCAATGTAAGAGATATAAATTTCAAAGCTAGATGACCTGGGATCTTCACTATCTATCATACTGTCTCTTATTTTCTTCCAAATAGTTATGCATGTCTTCGCATACAGAGAATTCATACAAAACAACATACTATAGAACTGACCTGAACAGAAGGAGGAAGCAGACAATAGGGAAGTCACTAATGGCCATCATAGAGTCTCTCGTTGTCTTCAAAATAGCTGTCCATACTTTCATGTATATTGAAGTTCAACAAAACAAAACAGGCAGTGTGGGAGGGGTTGCTTGGTTTCCTGGTGCTCCAGGTCCCAGGATAGAGTGGGTCCCAGTAAATGCCCGAGACTCCCGTCCTGGACCGCCAGAGCCTGCCACGCTCATAGCTGCTCATGGCATCAGGGGTGTGGGGTGGGGTGGTGGTGGTGGTGGTGGTGGTGGTGTGGGGTGGGGGGGGTATGGGGGTGGGAGGTGTGGGGGGGTTTGCTTCAAGCTGTTTCTTTCTAATTTACCATCTCACTGCCCATGTTCTGAAATGGTCAACAGGCCATAGTAAGACAACTCTTTAGGTTCCTGCTTAAAACCAACAGCGTCAGGGAGCTGCCGGTCTTGATGCAGCGCCAGAGAGTGCTGGGATTATAGGCGTGTGCTATCATCTAAGATTTTTATTTTGAAAAAAAGCATCTGATTTGGAGAAAGCCTCAGGCCTTGAGACTAACTCTGCCTCCTCCTGAGCACTTCTTTCCACTCCTGGCTCTGAGGCATGTGGGGCACTTCTCCCCTCCCTCCACTGGGCCTGCCTCCCTGGAGGAGTCTCCATGCAGCCCAGGCTGGGCCATGGCAGGAATTCACTGCCCACTCCCCTCCACAGTCTAGATCCTCACCATGTCTCAGCAGTGTCCTTCACAGTGGCTGTCTTCACTTTCTGGAGAGTCAATTCAGATTGCGTACTACACCCTGCGGTCCCTTTTCTTTTGCACTTTATCACATTGGTATCTTTTTTTTTTTTGGTACCAGGGATCGAACTCATGACCTCATGTTGCCACTCTGAGCTAAACACTGGTGTCTCTGATGAACACAGGCTGGCTACTCCAGCCATCATTTTGCAATTTGGGTTTGAGTTCGGATCATGTGGGATTATTCTAAAACGATGTGTATGTGGCATGGTAGTGCACACCTGTAGTCCCAGTATTCTGGGAGGCTGAGGCAGGGGCATTTTAAATTCAAGCCAGCGTAGGCAACTTAGTGACTTGGTGAGACCTTGTATCAAAATAAAAAATAAAAACAGGTTGAGAATGTAACGTAGTGAGAAGGCCCTGCGTCCACTCATTACTGGGGGAAAAATGTACATTTACGATTGTCCCCGTGGAGGCAGAGTATTCCTTATCCCTCGACCATGCTGGCCTCTTAGCTGGCTGAGCTGTTTGTTTCCTGCACTGCGTTATCCCTGTTTTTACCCCTTGCACCAAGCAGTAGTCTTTGGGAGGCGCACATTACAGTGTGGTGGCACTTTGGGGGTTCTAGCTATTCATGGGGCTCCTGCAGTGGAGGCGTTGTGGCAGGGCACTATCCCCCTTTTCTGTGACAATCAGAAGTGCACTGAAATAAGATTTTACTTCAAACAAGGCACAGTGTGAGGGTTTGGTTGCGGCCTGCATTCTGGGTTTACACATTGAGGGCTCTCATTTAGTGAGGGCTTCATTACTTTATTAAACTGGTAGAGAAGCCACATGGGACATCCTACACTCGATCTTACAAACTAGCAATCTTTTCTAAGACTTCAAGTTAGAGTGAGCTTGATGTTAAGGATTTGCAGCCAGGATGTGCAGGATGGAAGATGCTCTGGGTCTCTTTTGTAGGAGGACAAAGACACTGATTCTGCCAAAGAGCCCTTGGATGACCTGTTCCCAAATGACGAGGATGACCCAGGCCAAGGAAGTGAGTGCAGTGCTGTTTGCTGTCGCTTGCTCTCTGAGGATGGGGATTTGTTTGTCACACTTAGTGGGAGCTTTGGCGCAGAGCCTGCTGCACAGGAACCCAGGCACAGTGGGGTTGCTCCCAGGCAGTGAAAAAGTGTGTGTGTGGATATAGCATTGTGGAGGGTGGGGCCTGGTAAATGAGTAGATGTGGCCTGCAGATCCCTGTAGATGGAAGAGGTCAGTCACTCTTGCTGTTAGGTTCATATCCAGAGAAGTCTTCTGCCACTACTTGAAGACAGGGCACACCCCTTATACGGTTCCTTATTCTTTCTCAGCATGCCCATGCCCTTAGGAAAGACTGAACTAACTGAGGGGCTGCTTGAGCCAGGCTTGTCTGCACAGCTTGCTGACCACCCCTCTGAAGTGCTCCTTCTCTCCGCAGTCCAGCAGCAGCACAGCAGTGCGGCCGCCGCTGCCCAGCAGGGTGGCTATGAGATCCCCGCACGGCTGCGCACGCTCCACAACCTGGTGATTCAATACGCCTCGCAGGGGCGCTACGAAGTGGCTGTGCCACTCTGCAAACAGGCCCTGGAGGACCTGGAGAAGACGTCCGGCCACGATCACCCTGATGTGGCCACCATGCTCAACATCCTGGCCCTGGTGTACAGGCTAGTCCTTTGGTTTCTCTGTTGAATTGTACCTGGAGACAACTTTTAATAAGCTTGCCCCTGAGAGAGAAAGAGTGTGTACATGCATTTTGCAGTACTAGAGAGTAAGCCCAGAGCCTCCCACATGGTAGGGAAGTGCTCTACCACTCTACCACTGGACTACATGCCTGTCCATTTGTAAAATTTTTATTTTGAGATATAGACTTGCTGTGTTGCCTAGCCTGGCCTTAAATTTGTAATCATCCTGCCTCAGCTTCCTGAGTAGCTGGGGTTACAGGTATGTGTCACTATGCCCAGCATAAAATGTTTCGTAAATCTGTATAAACTATATAGTTTCAATGGTACCATCTGCTTCTCTTCAAACATCTCGAGGTTATATCGAAATGCATTTCTTAGCCCCTCTGTGGTAAGACTCTCATGCATGGGAACAGGTGCTGCCTTATCCGCTGGGTTAGCCTGCCGCCCTTCCTGTCTCCTACCTTTCTCAGGAATGGGGCCTGGGACCTGCCGCGTGCCAGCTGGGCAAGTGCTCCACTCTGCTCCGTGCCCAGTGCCACACCAGCCTTTCTGGAGTAGGCTGTGTGTGCCTTTTACTCTGACCAATTAGCCAAAGGTGGGGACTTTTCCCTGTGAGCCTCCACCAGGTTTCTTTGATCTGGTCCAGCCTCCCCACCTTGGCCGTCATTCTTCTAGTCTTTCCGTGGCTCTGCATGCTCTGCTTTTGAAATCCAGGTTTCCACTTGTGCTTTGTCCATCTTGTCTCTTCTGACCCTGTCACCTCTGCAGACGGTCGCTAGGGTATAGTGGGCTTTGAGCTTTGTGGACAGAATGGGGGCTGGGCCTGGAGACAGGATGGCCAGTGTGTACTGACCGAGGGCAGCAGGTGGAGTGTGGGGAGGATGACAGGTTGGCCCACAGGGTGGCCAGTGTGTACTAACTGAGGGCAGCAGGTGGAGTGTGGGGAGGATGAGAGGTTGGCCCAGGCTGTCCAGGAGACATGCAGTGATGCTCTGCCTCCATGGGCGAGTGCTTCCTGTAAGAGTTTTTCTCTTTTGGTAACACTGAGGATTGAACCCAGGGTCTTTGCACTGTGCTACATCCAGCCCATTTATTTTGAGACAGGATCTTGCAAAGTTGCTGAGTTGCCCAGGCTGAGCTTAGGGCTAGGCTTAGGGCTTATACTTGTGATCTTCCTGTCTCAGCCTCCCAGAGTGCTGGGTTTACTATTACTGTGCCCAGCTTTGATTTTTTTTTTTTTTTTTTTTTTTGCCTTTTCTATTAGGGTCTTGCTATGTAGTTCAGCTTGGCCTTAAGCTTATTATTAGCCTAGGCTGGTTTTGAACTTCTGATGATCCTCCTGCTTCAGCCTCCCATGTGCTGGGACATGGATGTGCACCGCTATACCCCGAAATTTAGAGTCTTTGAAGATAAGTTCCTAAGACAGGTTGCTGTGTGAACCTGTCTGCCCTGTTTTCAGAGGGATGGTGTGTTCATGCTCCTGCCACAGCATGCACCACCTGGGCACCATTGGTTGTCACCTTTTTCCTTGTTGGTAGATAAGTGGAGTTATTTTTATTTTTATTTTTATTTTTTTGGTACTGGGTATCGAACTTAGGACCTTGTACTTGCCAGTCAGGTGCTGTGCCCCTGAGCTATATCACTGGCCCAAGCCTGTGTTTTGATTCCTATTTTGAGTCCATGTTTTTAGTCACCCATGACTGACCTTGATTTCCTCATGTCTTGCTCATTTTCCTTTTAGGATTTGAATGCTTATAGCTTTGTATTTATTTTTGTTTTACGTCTATACTTCCCTTCCTAGTGGACTTGCTCAATCCTGCCATGCTGGGGTCCTAACTGACCAGGTCTGGGCTAGGTGCTTTTCCTGAGTTCAGCTGAGAGTTACTGCTGCCAGCAGGGCCTTCTCAGGCTTGGATCCATGCCATCTGCTGCTGGACACAGGCTACCCCTGGGGTGCTGGGCTGTGTCCCCTTCTGTTGCAGTGTGGCTGCAGCCCTGCCCTGTGGTCTCCATGGGAGGCCAAGTGCAGAAACTGGCCAGGCTGGCCCCCAGCTCACTTTGGTGGCCGTTCACTGATGATTTCCTTCCAGCCTTTCCTCCCACACCCAGGGTTGTTGTGTTTTTTAATAATAGGGCCTTTGCCTGTGTTTCTGTAACTCCATTACATTGAAGAAAGTTTAGGAGGCCGGGTGGAGCTTGGGGTTAGGGTGTGTGCTTTCCATGTGTGAGGCTCTGGACTTCTCCCCTGGTGCTAGCAGAGGGACAGGTTGGGGTGACTCAGTCATCTGCTGCTCCACTCACTGTGTGTTTCTCAATTTAGGGACCAGAACAAGTACAAAGATGCAGCTAATCTGTTGAATGATGCCTTGGCCATCCGTGAGAAAACGCTGGGCAAGGACCATCCTGCGGTTTGTACCTGACTCTTTCAGTCGTTCACATTTTATTTTCCCCAGTATGTTCTTACCCAGCTCATGCCAGTGTCAAATTTAACAGGGAGGGCCTGACAGCCGCCTGCTCCCAGCTGGCACAGGTAGGGCTTTGCCCGCGCAGCAGTGATGGCCTCAGGCCGCAGCTCTGCTGCTCACTGTGCCAGTCAGCCCTGATCTGTAGAGCCACAGCTCAAATGGACTACAAGCTGCACCTTTCAGTCCCAAATCAAGACTGCACGTCGCCCTCTAGATTGGTTTGTTGGGGATTTGTGTTGTCTTTTTATAAAAATCTGGTCAAATTTGCACAGAGGTCTCTTTTGATCGGCTTTGTGGCTTCAAAGGAAATTCAAAAAATCAAGTTCACATTGGTGCTGATTTGTTTAGTTTTAGAACTCGGTGCTGCAGCACCGCTTGGTGATTTAGCTCAGAGTGAGCTGCGCTGGTCCTTGGAACTGCAGCTGCCTTCTTACCCTGTGGCGAGTGCCCCAGTGTGCGCTGGTGGCTGCATGGGTCTGCACCCACAGCTGCTGTCCCTGGGTCTCTCATGTGCCTGTGGCCCTGTGTTGGCAGGTGGCGGCAACTCTGAACAACCTGGCTGTCCTGTATGGGAAACGAGGGAAGTACAAAGAGGCCGAGCCGCTGTGCAAGAGAGCCCTGGAGATCCGGGAAAAGGTACGCAACAGCTGGCCAGTAGCGCTTTGAATAAAGATGAGTGCTGGGATGCCATTGCTGCTCACTTACTGAAGGCAGCTGCTTCTGAAGGGCAGCCCGCTCCCTCGATGGGCTCGGGGCAGTCCCTGTGCTCAGCACATGATGCTTGTGTGACGGCTGCGTGTGTTCAGGGTGGCACCTTTCTTGGTATGAAGGCCACAGCTCTTGCTGTTGTCCAGAAACAACATTGCTGGGGACAACGACCTGGCAAGGGTGTGTGTGTGTCAGTTAGGAAGAGTGCATGTGACTGTTTAAAAATAAGGTACCAGATATGCTGCCATAATGTTAAGAATTGAGCTGGGCATGGTGGCACACACCTGTAATCCCAGCACTCAGGAGACCGAGGCAGGAAGATTGGCATGTGTTGGAGGCCAACCTGAACCACATAGTTAGATCTTGACTCAAGAGAAAAAAAGGCTGGGTATAGCTCAGTGGCCTAAACACCTGCCTGGCAGGCTCAAGGTTCTGAGTGTGATTCTCAGTACTCGAAAAGTAATTATTTCATAACTAAAGGTTAACTCAGAGCTGTCAGTGCATCAGTGTTGTGGATATTTTAGAAGTAGCTGCTGCCTTTATGGTAACTGGGTGTTGAAATGCTGTGGGTTGGTTGTCTCGAAGCACTGGGGGACTGAGAGGTCCCAGTGGAACAGTTGGGTGTCAGGCCCACGCACAGGTGACCTGGGGCTGTGGTTTAATCTGACAGTCTCATGACTGTCTGTCTGTCACTGAGGGGTTGGGTGCTTGCTCTGGAACTCATGGCGAGGAGCTAGAAAGCGAAAGGCACTCATCCCACCATGAAGCTGGACGGATGAGGCTTTAGCATGCTGCCATGTGCATGGTGCCTACAAAGTGGTCACATCTGAGTGGGCTAGCCAGAGTCCGGGAGAGCACAGCAGATCAGCTGCAGCCCCGTGGCACGTCTGTAGTCCCACTGCTCAGGAGGCTGGAGCGGGGAGATCATTTGAGCCCAGGAGTTGGGAGACCAGCCTGGACTATTCAGCGAGGCCTTGTGTGAGGCAAGGGAAAAAACCCTGCAAAATTTGTTAAAATATTTGCTCCTTTATTTGTTCGGAGCCTGCGCTTAGTCTTTCCCTATGAATACTGTCCAATAGATGAAGCTCGTGACTGCCGAGGGCATTCTGCAGGACAAGGGGTGGCACAGGCCCCTCAGGCTGCTGGCTGGCACTGGCTTTCCAGGAAAGGCCAGAGTCTGACCAGGAGCCTGGTTCAGTGTCATTGAGGTGGGGAGGTGGGGTGTGCGGAGCGGAGCACACAGAGCAGCATGTCTCCTGAAGCCGCTGTGTGAGGGACAGGTCTGGGAGGACCAGCGCCGGTCAGGGTCCTGCGCAGGGTGCGTCTGTCTGTGCCTCCTTGCCAGGGCTGTCCTGGCAAGCATGTGAGGTCACGCTGGTAGCAAGACAGACGAAGTGCTCGCACTCTTGGGCTTGGGTTTTTAGGGTGGGGCAGTGAAGGGTGAATGAGATCGATTTGGACTTTGATCCCACCTGGGCAATTCAGTTACTTAGAGTCTGTTTCAACAACAGCAAAAGACTGGAGATGTAGCATAGGGCAAATCCCTGGTACCACAAACACACATGCACATGCACACACTCGCTCACACACAGGAGGAAGAGGAAGAAATTCTGGTTCTTTTTTTTATTGTACACCATGGAGGCCTTTGGAGCTAGGTCTCGGAGTGCAGTCCAGTGTCTGTTTTGGAAGGAGCCTTCTGACAGGTGGTGGCTGTGGTAATGAAGTCAGTGTTTCTGATTCTGCTCTTCATTCCCAGGTCCTGGGAAAGGATCACCCTGATGTTGCCAAGCAATTGAATAACTTGGCCTTACTGTGCCAGAATCAGGGCAAATATGAAGAGGTGGAATATTACTACCAGAGGGCCTTGGAGATCTACCAGACGAAACTGGGCCCTGATGACCCCAATGTGGCTAAGACCAAGAACAACCTGGTAAGCAGGAGCCATGGGGACCCCATGCTTCACCAGTGTTCTGCTGCTCCCCGTGCGTGCGTGTTTTATTTGTGTGAAGGACACTAAATCCTTGTTTTATTTTAAGGCATCCTGCTATCTGAAACAAGGAAAGTTCAAGCAGGCGGAAACACTGTACAAAGAGATTCTCACCCGTGCACACGAGCGGGAGTTTGGCTCCGTGGATGGTAAGGAATACACTTCTGCTTCCAGGCAGATGCAGTGCACGTGTGTTCCAAGAGGGATTTCAGCGCGCGTGGCGAAGCCCTGGGGTTCACGTCAGCTCCCTAGACAGAAACTGCTACAGTTTCCTCAGTGGGGCTTGGCAGCGGGGACGTGGTACAGGCCTCGTGGTCACTTGTTACTTGTGCTTCACTGCTTCACTGCTTGGTGAGACCTGTGTGCCCTGAGCCTGCATATTGCCACCAAGTCTTTTTGGGAGGACCTCATGGCAGGGAACATGGGGCTGCGTCTCCCATTCGTGCATCAGGAGCAGCCTGCACCCCCACTCTGTGCCCCACCCTGCCTCTCATGCTCACCCACACACAGGTGACCTGGGGCTGTGGTTTAATCTGACAGTCTCATTCTCTTCCAGGTGCGCCCAGACCCTAGTGGCTTAGGCAGATGTGCAAGCCCCTCCCTTGACCTACACCTCTGAGTTGTTTGTCTTAGAGCTGAGGTCAGGTCTCCATTATGTGCCTTTAGAGACTGTAGGTGCTTCATTCATAGTTACTCTTTAAATTGTCCAATTAAAAATATTTGTGTGCTTTTTTCCTTCAATGGGTGCTGTAGAGGCATTCGGACTGTGGACAGTGGTTAATGGGCTGCAGGAAGCTGTAGCATGAGGAGGGAAGGACTGTGGTGGTTAACTCACCCACCTATATATTTCTTGGTTCATGGAGGCATTTTATTTGCAGAATGTATTACATCCCTAGAGAAAGAATCCTGCATGCCCTCCTTTATGGGTCCATCCTGTTCCTTCATAGCCCAAGGTACCTGCTGAGGTTATCAGAATGACAAGACCGAACCAGCAGGCGGGAGCAGAGGGTTCTACTGTGCTTCTAGATAGCCGAGTTGCTGTCCAGTCGGGGCTGGTCACTTCATGAGGTGTCGCCTGCCTGTAAGGTTGAGCTTAGGAGAAGCAGGCAGTGGTGGGAGCAGGTGGCTCCTTCCTGGTGTCTGGGATGCCCTTGAGGACACTGTCCAGGACGCGCAGCATAGACTGTGGCCAGGGAAGTTAACTTTTTAATAGAGTTCCAGAAACTGTTTTGGAAACGTGGTCCCCAAATACACTTTGGAGCAGTAACTCTCTCACCAGAGCCACGCCGTGGCTGCTGCTCCCCACTGGGAGGCTGTGTGACACAGCTATGGCAGGGCAGGCATTGTACCTGCTTGTTTCTGTCTGCAGAGCTTTGCCAACTTCATGGAGTATCAGGCCAGCTTCCAGGGCTTGTAGAACATTCTCATGTGGCACACTGGTTTCCTTGATTTTCTAGCTCCTTCCTGCTCCAGATAGTGTGTGAAGCTCAGTTGAGTGGGTTCTAGTCAAAGGCAGTTTTGTGCACATCACACACACACACACACACACAGACAGACACAGACACAAACAGTTGTTTACCTGCATGGCATTGGTCTGTTGACTGGTAGGATGTGTTAATATTCTGTAAATTAAGACTTTAAAGGAATATTGACTTGCATATTTCTACTTTTGCTCCCAAATCTTACTAATTTCTTAGATTTTTGTTGAGTGTGAAGTTGCTCAAATTCTAAGTACTTGTCTGTGTTGCATGAGCAGTCACAGTGTGGGCTGGGCCCTGTCAGGTTGGTCAGTGCAGGTGCCTTCCCTGGCCAGGTTCCTGCAGTCTGCAGTGCCGGATGTGAGTGCAGCTCCTTTCTCCTCCCGCCTTCTATCCTGGGCCTTGCACGAGCTAGATCTGTCCCGGGTGCAAGGCGACTAAGAAGGACCGTACAGCAGCCAACCCAGACCTTGCAGTTACTAAGCTCCGACAGTGCCTGACCAGTGAGCTGTGTCAGTTTTCAACTTATAGTGTTATTTTATTCTTCCCTAGATGAAAATAAGCCCATTTGGATGCATGCTGAAGAAAGAGAAGAGTGCAAAGTAAGGCTGTAACTGTTTTAAGTGGTTTTTAAAATGGAATGCCGTGGATTCAAGATGCTTACTCATTTGAAATTATCTGTCCTACTTCAGGGAAAGCAGAAGGATGGGACGTCCTTTGGAGAGTATGGCGGCTGGTACAAAGCCTGTAAAGTGGATAGGTACGTCTATCTGGGCGAAAACCCAGAGCTGAGGGTGAGGACAGGCCGAGGGGACACCTCGGGAAGGATGGATGCACAGCTCCCTTTAGTGCATGGTTGTGCAGGTCCCTATTTCCCCCGAATCCTACTCCAGGGAAGCCCGCACCCGTGGCCATGGCTCAGCATGTGTAGCCTACGCTGCAGTGGCAGGAGCTCTGGGCGCTGTTGACCTGACTGAGGCAAGGAGTTCTTCCTGTGGAAAACAGCCCCACAGGCAGCCACACGCACCTCAGGGCAGGTAGCGCCCCTGACACATACCCCTCCTCCTGGCACTCTGGGGGAGCCCGTGTGCCCCCCTCCCCGCCCCCACCACACCTGGCCTGCAGCTGCCGCACGCCCCGGCTGAACAGCGTTTGCTGCCTTCACTCCCTGTCACTTGACCATGCAGCCCCCCTCTTCTCTGTCCTAGGAAGACTCACTGGGCCCTGGCTGGAGTAGAGGTCCAGGAGCCCCTCACAGTTACCCTCACAGCAAATCGATGTCTTTTTTTTCTCCACTGCTGACCACTTACCTCCGAGACATGAAGGTGGCTTCTTTATTTCAGTACTGAAATGCCTGTCGTTAGTGACAGAGTGAAGCACCTCTGCAAGTGCTGTACTGCAGCAATTGGTTTCCAGCTCCTGGAAGGCTCCCTGCCACGGCTGCGGCCACGTGCCCACCGCTCCAGCTCCTCGTGCTTCCCTGCGTGCCGCCTCCATCTCCTGAGGCCCGGCCTGCAGTCTTGGGTGTGCTGTGCTAAAGCCACCTGCCCTCATTTCACCTGACACAGTTTGAGCTCTGGTCAGGGGTGGCTGACCACTCAACAGACAGCGGCACGATGCTGTGGCTGGGTCCTGGATAGGCATAGCAGCGGCCTGCCCCGGGCCCCAAGGGTCTGACGCATGAGGTAGTGGGGCTTTGTGAGCTCAAGCTCTGGAAAATGTTCTCGAATGATGCCCCATGCCAGAGCAAACGTGGCCGTAAACTATGGTCTGTCTGCTGTGCCTGTGTGCTGCTGGCGCTGATGGAGGTTGCACAGTGGGAAAGGAAAACAGGAAAGCAAATTACAAAGATCACAGCGAGTTACAGCCTGCATCCCCAGGCCATGGGCCTGGCAGACACTCGGGTGCTGCAGACAGAGGCTGCCCAGGACACTTCCTCACCGTCTCATCACATTCCTTACAGCCCAACTGTCACGACCACTTTGAAAAACCTTGGAGCACTTTACCGACGCCAGGGCAAATTTGAAGCTGCAGAAACATTAGAAGAAGCTGCCATGAGGTCACGTAAGCAGGTGAGTCAGATACCAGATTGCAGGCTGGTGATCATCCTGTACTCCTAGCACTTGAGAGACTGAAGGCAGAAGGATCGCTGTGAGTTTGAGGCCAGTTTGGGTTATGTAGTGAGTTCAAGGCCAGCCTGATCTGGGTAGCAAGACACTTGTCTCAAAAATCCAAAACAAAAGAACTGAGATTTTATGTATGACATTCTTTCTTTTTGGTAGTGGGAATTGAACTCATGACCTCGTGCTTGCCAGGCAGTACTGTGCTACTGAGCTATATCCCTGGTGAACTGTGAGATTTTAGGACCGGGGCTTGAACCTAGAGCCTTCTGCATGCTAGGCAGATGCTCTACTACTGGGCTCCTATGTTAGCACTTTTTGGAGAGGTTTTAAAATTTCATTTTTTTCATACCAGGAATTGAACTCAGGACCTTGCACTTGGCAGACAAATGCTTATACTACTGAGTTATATCCCTGGACGCTACCTCAGTACTTTTTAAAATTTTACACTTGAGACAGGGTCTTGCTAAATTGCCCAGGTTGGGGTTCAACTTGCAATCCCCCTGCCTCAGCCTTCTTAGTGTTGGGATTACAAGGGTGCTGCCCCATGCCTGCCATTGTATAGCCTTTATCCATAGCTTGATTTAGAAGATCTTGAGCTAGGGGTGTAGCTCAGTGGTAGAGTTCTTGCCTAGCACATGTGAGGCCCTGGGTTCCATCTCATTGACTACCAAAAATACAGAAAATTTCAAATGTTTTAGTTTGCACAACTTACACTGTTGAAAATGCCATTAATACAACACCAGAAATACAGATGCGAGAACGAGGCTGGCAGATGCACCGGGTCCCAAGGACTCGCCCACTGGCAAGTGAAGGTCACGAGTTTGATCTCTGGTACCAACAAACAAAACAAAAAAGTCTCAGGCTTCAGCTATATACTACTTTGAAGCCAGAAACCTTAGGGTACTAAGATAAAAAACTGGGCATTGCCTAGCATCCCATAGAACTTTTCAGACCTACACAGAGGTGGAATGAATTTCACACTCCTGTCCCACCACCGAGATTATGGTTTTCTTTTGTCTTTTTGAGACGGTATTTCTGTGCAGTTCAGGCTGGCCTTGAACTCACTAATGCAGCCCAGGCTGGTCTTGAACTTGTGGTGAGGTGATCTTTCTGCCGCAGCCTCCCCAGTGCACCACAATGCCTGGCTTTCACCAAGATTTTAGGTACTTTTATGACATCCATCTGTCTGAAAATCTATTTGATTTTTTTAAAAGCAGATAATTTCTAGATATCAGTGTACTTCCTTCTAAATATTTCAGAACTAGAGCTCAGCATTTGTGTATAGCTTTTTAATATGAGAAGAACATTCAGAGTGCAGCGCGTGCCGGAGTGTGGCAGCACGTGTGCCATGTGACCAAGTCTGTCACAGTCACCTCGGTTCTTCTCCCTGGTGATGAGAGCCAGCGGAGCGGGAGTGTCTGAATCTCTGCTGTGCTGGAAATGCTAATTCTTCTCCTGCCTGGCTTGCAGGGTCTGGACACTGTTCACAAACAGAGAGTGGCCGAAGTGCTCAACGACCCAGAGAGCACGGAGAAGCGGCGGAGCCGGGAGAGCCTGAGCTCGGACGTGGTCAAGTACGAGAGCGGCGCTGACGGAGGGGAGGAAGTGAGTATGAGCGTAGAGTGGAACGGGGTAAGTACGCACAGCGCACAGCCGGCGCTCTCTGTCCCGCCTCGCCCCGTTCTCCTCTGCCGCAGTGCCAGGGAGGCTTCTGTAAGTCCTAACTCGCGCTAACCCTGCAGGCCCTGCCTCAGCAGGGTGACCTCCTGCCCCGGGAGCCTGGGCATGACCGATGTCTTGGCTGCTCAGAGCGGCACTGTGCTCAGGGCTCAGCCTGGCAGACAACTAACTTGCTCTAACTCGATGTCTACTGCTAACTCAGGTGCCTAACCTCCCAGCAGCTGCCCTGGACTTGCTGGTTAAACTGCCTACACAGGAGAGGCTGTTTAACTGGAACTTGCTTTCAAAAAGAGCAGCTCATGAGCAAAGCCATAGGGTGGCTGCTCTCCTGCTCAGTCTGAACGTCACGTGTCTCCTTGGGGGTCCTGGGTCAGTCCCTTCTCTGTTGCTTGCCCAGCTCCTCGGGGCTGTCTTTCATACAAGTAGATCCTGAGGGGTTACACAGCCTTGTGTTGCCATCCTGCTCTCTGGGGAAATCCCCCATTGCTGTGTGGCCAGTGGCAGCCAGCCAGTTCCTTTGGGGCTCTCTGTACCCTGAGCTGGTGTCTTTGGAAATTCACTCTCAGCAGGGAAAGCTGGGTGCAGGATTTAGCCCTCCAGGCAGGGAGGTTGTTACGGGGCAGTACGTCGAGTTGTAAGCATGCAATTCTGTTAGATTTCAGTGTGGGGCTTTCTTAGAGTCTTAGGTTTTCAATCTCTTTAGGCTTTGGAATTTTACACAGCTATAGCAGTTCAGTAGGTGCCAACATCCTGACCAGACATTTTTTAGGAAATGTTAGAAGGCAAAATTACAGAGAGGACATTCTTGAGACTCTTCACCTATCACTTCTCTTGCTATGTTCTTTCTGTGCCAAGACAACCAGTCAGCATCTGCCCTGATTGGCCCAGCCTGGCTTCCGAGGTTGTAAACCACAGTGAGCTGTGTCCTGTTCTCCTCTTGCGGCCACTCTGGCCCCTGCATGCTCTGTCTGGGGGCCCTGCTGCTTGGTCTGCTGAAGCCACATGCCCAGTGACTCTTGGGCGAGGCTCTGGAGGGACTATCTTGGAGACAGTATTTCTAGGTCCACACTCACGTGAACCCTGTGATAGGATCATCGCAAGCCAGAGTTGCACCCTGTCCTGAGGACTCCCAGGTGGCCTGGCCTGCGTGACAGTGGTGCTCCTCTGAGCAGCTCGCTGCACTGGTGGCAGCACTGAGGCTCTGTACCTGCCCGGGCGCTTCGGCACTGCACCCCGGGGAGGGAGCCAGGCTGTGCCTCTGGGGTCAGTGCCTGGGGCTCAGCTGGCCGCCTCGGCTCTTTTGGCAGAGGTAGCACCATGCTCCCCTGGCTTTGGATTGAATTTTATTTTCACATTTTCATTATTTTGGTATTTTCGTTATTTTAAGGAGTAGTGACTGCAGTGTGCACACTTGGGAGTTCTTTTCTTTCTGTGGTACAGGGGGGTGAACCCAGGGCTTGCACAGCCAGCTGTAGACTGGCCCATTATTCAGTTGCTCAGCGGAAAGATACATTGTCCAGTCCAACCTGTGACCCTCTTGTCTCAGCCCTGCAGAGTGCTGGGCCTGTGCCCGTGGCCACATGCCTGGCCAGGCGCTGTCTTTAGTCGGCCATGCCAAGCTGTATGCGCAGGCAGTAGCCGGAGTCCGTTGGAAGAGTCGTTTGGTGTAGAGCCGAGCACTGCAGCACAGTGTGTCGCTTTCTCTGTGCCCATGAGAGTGCAGTGTTTTCTGCTGCTAGTTAGAAAACCTTCCTGAGATTGCACAGCAGCTTAAAAATGGTTACCCTGGCAGCCATTTACCCACGTGTCAGGCTTCTGTTCAGTCATGCATAGAAGTACAGTAGCGGAAGCTGGCCATTGAGGTGGTGTCACGGCTGTGCCTGTCACCGTAGGTTATAGACTGTGGGCTTATAAAAGTAGTTTCACTGTTTTTACCGAGTTAAGATCATAATAATGTGTTGCACATTTATAGTGAGTAATGCTGCCTGATTTTCACTTTATATTGGGCTTTGGCACAGGGTTCTAAACATTTTTCTGTAATGGAGATTACAGAATGGGAGACTCTTACTAGGCAAGTGCTTCACAGCTGAGACTCACCTGGTCCTCCTTCCTTTTTTGTATCTTGAGGACAAGGTTTCACTTAGGTTGTCTGGGCTCACTCTAAACCCTAGTAGCTGGGATTACTTTTTTGGGAAAGGGTTTCAGAGCTCTTCAACATTGCTGAGCACTGCTATGGCAGGAGGCATCTTTGTTGTTTAGTTGGCAGTCGCAGCCTTGGCAGAGATAGGGACAGGAGTGATGGCTGCGGGGAGCAGTAGCTGCTTACACAAGGAGGGGCTGATGCCTCCTCAGGGGTCATGGTCACAGGCAGTGTCCACAAAGCCACGGTTGGTCAAGGATGAGGTGTCCAAGGCACGAGTAGCTGCTCCTGCCAACCCCTGGTCTGTGTCCCAGGTCTTGGGTCCCCATGTGTCTGCCTCTTGGCATGGGGTCCCTGTGATGCCACGTGAGTGCGGATGCTCACCTGGCCGTCACCCTGCCAAGGAGCCTCGTTCTGCACGGAGCCAGGCCCTCAGTTCTGCCCACGGTGCAGGACCTGCATGCCCGGCGCTGGCCCCGGGGCCCTTCGACACTGTGGTTATGGTGTTGTCCTGGTGACCCTGTGTGAGCCCGAAGCAGGTGCCACTTGTGCCTGGGGTCCTGCAGCGGCTGCCTCAGCGTCTCCCCTCCCACCACTGCTGTGCCCAGACGGCTGTAGTCTCCAGCAGTCAGTTCTCACCAGGGGTGAATGGTGAATGAAACCGTTGTTGCTTAGAAATAGATTTTTATCTTCGAAAAATTATACTAGGAAGACAGCTAGAATACACCTAAAAGGAAAACCACTCCATGTGTAAGTCCTGTGCAGAGATAAAGGTCGCCAGGGGAATCCCTGCTCCGCACGTCTGGTTCCTGTTGGGAAACCTGCTTCTCACAGTGTGTCTGATGGCGAGCAAAGGCGAGGCAGAGCGCATGTGCCCGGCCCTCCACCTGCTTCCATAGGTGCTCAGGTGCAGGCCCTGGGGGCAGGCACAGGGGTGGGTGGACCTGAGGACAGACGCCTGTGGCTGGTGCTGGTGCAGGGGCTCCAGGCTTGCTGGCGCCCATGGCCGCCTAAGCCAGCTGCCAGTACATGTGTGCGTGTGTGGGTGGGTGCGTGCTATGCGTGCGTGCATGTGGGTGTGGGCCCTGCGAACTAGACACAGGGCCACAAGACGCAGGGACCACAGGATATGCAGCACTCAGCATCCTTTTTAAAGAACTTGGGGAACTTAGCATTTTGTCCTCCCATCCTTTTGGAGGCATTGGTAACAAGTTTTATTTTTCCATTTAAAGATGAGAAAGATGAAGCTCGGGCTGGTTAAGTGACTTGTGCCGCATCCCATGGTGAGTCCGAGCAGCGGGGCAGTCCTGCTGTCCATGCTCCTGTCGCAGTGGCAGCTGCCACTTGGGCAGGACGCAGGGAGCTGTGCTGCCCACGGAGTCATTTACCGGGATTGTCAGCTGCATGCTGTGTGCTATCGACATGTGCAGGCCATGGCTCTTAGGGTTCCGGGCACTCAGGTGTTAGTGTGTTTAGGAGAACGAGAGTCACAGCTGCTTCCCAGGAGTCTCGAAATTCAGGATAAGCGGGACGGGCATAGCGAGCAGCCTCTGCGTCCTGTGCAGGGTTCTTCCTGCCCATCGCCTTTATATACGTTGCTGCGAGACTGCTGGTGGTGAATGTCAGGATCTGTCACCCAGTGCTGATCCTCGAGTGCTGGCTGCACCCTACAGACTGAGAGCCCAACCTGGGGCCAGTGCCAGGCACGTGGTGTCATTGAGTCTGTGGCCTAGAAATACTGTGCGGGGAGCCGTGGAGCGGGCCCTGCCTTCCTCGCGCTCATGCTCTCTCTCCTTTCTGTCGACAGGCCTAGCTGCCCGGGTGCCTCTGCTCCTGCACGGCGGGCGGCCTCTCCGGTCCCTCTCTCTCCAGCCTGGCCCGCTGTGTCGCGGCCCCTAGGAGCTTGCAGAGCTGCCATTCCTTTCGGTGCTGCTGTCCTCTTGGGGGTTTCCGATCTCTGTATACGTGTAGCTTTGCCAGATCTGTACCTAGTACTTCCCACTGTATTAATAAACTCCACTTCCTGTGTACTCCGTGAGTTTAAATCGAGAGCGATTAGCTGCTCCTTCTGATGACAGGTAGTTCCAGTGTCACACAGGCGTCCCTACAGTGGCATGACGGTGACCTGTGGACAGTCGCTGAGCTGTAGGCGTCAGGCATGTGCTGCACGTCCCTGTGGTACTTAAGAGACCTGGCAGCGCCCTGCCTCAGGGCCTGCCTAGGACCTGCTCAACTAGACTTGCTGTGTAGTCTTTGTGTAAAGTTTTGGCAATTCTGCTTTTCTCTACTAATCTTTGAAGTGCTCAGTGATGTGTGTATCTGTCTTTCTAACTTCTAATAAACTCACTCCAACTGACCTGTGTCTGTGTGTCTGCTCGGTGCCCTCCTCTGCGGGGAGCTGTGGCTCCTGTCTGCACTCAGCCAGGCCTTTCTCCTGCTTCCCACAAGGGGTCTGAGGGGTTTTAGTTGCAGCATAAACAAACATTTTAACCTTCCAGCCACCTTTATCATGGACATGGGAGACTGCGCCCCTCCTCTGCTGGGGGTGGGGGGTGCTGCCTCGGCCTCCATTTAGGTGTGGTGTGGTGTGGTGGGGGGGACACACACGGACTGTTCCCTGGGGCTCGGCCAGCCGGCAGTGGCCCACTGGATGAGCTTCTGTCAGTTTCTGTGACCTGGACTTTGACGCAACCTTGGGATGGTCTCTGGTGTCAGGAGGGCGGGCGGGGTCTGGGCCGGGAGGGCCACCTGCGGCTTCACGCTTGTTCACATTTCTTTCAGGACGGCACTGGATCTTTAAAGCGCAGTGGTTCCTTTAGCAAACTCCGTGCTTCCATTAGACGCAGCAGTGAGAAGCTGGTTAGAAAGCTGAAGGGAGGAAGCTCTCGGGAGAGTGAGCCGAGGAACCCTGGGTAACTATCTCCCCGCGCCCCGCAGGCCGAGAGGGCGCCACACACTCCCTGTCAGCGGCTGAAAGGGTGATGCCTTCAAAAAGTTACGGGGGTCTTTGATTTTTAAAAACATGTTCAAAGCAGGCCTCCGCAGTGAGGAGTGGGGATTTATGGTCACAAAGCCGAGAACCGGGACTTGTTCACTCTGGATCGGCATTATCTGCAAATTATCATTGGCTGACATTCTCGGAAGTCTTACTCTGTCAGGATCAGATCCCAGGCCGTTATGGGGCAGGGCAGGGAGAAAAGCTCGTTCTTCAGAGGCTGCAGTCACGGGGCTGTAGGATTTCAGGAACCAGAGATATCACCGACGCCTTGGCCTCGGAGTCGCCTGATAGAGCCTTCATCTGCCAGGGTCTCCGAGGGGTGTGTCGCGAGGGCTCTGCCCTGTCTGCCCTGCTGCTCTGGGACACTTCTGTGCAGGGACCCAAGGTCACCCTGTAGACTGGTTTGGTCAGCTCAGGGCTGGGGCTGCTTTGGAGAATTTGTTAGAGGTTAGAGTTATGCTTTTTCTTTGCTGCTTTTAGTTGTGTCACTGGGGACCTGCACTGAGATTGTCCCCACCACAGTGGCACCACACTACCTCAGCGTCCAGTTGGACTGTGCTGGCCCAGACTGCTGCTCTCAGCCGCTGCTTCCCTGCCGGTCCCTGTCCCGGACCCCCGTCCTTACCAGAGCTTCTGGGGGTGCCGAGTCTCCTGTGGCTAGGTGGCTACTTGCTACTTGCCCTTGCACACCCACATGTCGGTGAGTGTGCCGGCGCTCCATGTCCCAGCTGCAGAAGACCCTGGCCCGGGCCCCGCTGGCTGCTGCTGCAGCCTCGCGCCGGGTGCTCTCAACCCACCAGCACCGCCTGGACCTGAGCAGTTATTCTGATCATGTCAGCGCTTGGCCAGCTCTTAACTGGGCTGCAGTGCTCTCTGCTGTGGTCCAGGCCAGTGGATGTGATGATGTCCCCCAGCCCCACCCTCACAGGTAGCGCGCTGAGCTTCCCCTTCACACCCACTCAGGCTCTGTCCGGTCATGAACGGCCTCTGCAGGTTTTCTTTCTCCTGACCTTCAGCTGTGGCCATGGGGTGTGGCTGGCCCTGGGTGGCTCTACAACCCGGCCTTTTTGCTCAGGTACTGAGCAGGCCAGGCAGCTGGCATGGCTGTGATTGTGATGGTCACGGTGACTGCTGGTGCCCCGAGCTCCTGTCACTGCACCCAGTGGGTCAGCAGGCCCTTTTCCGTCCCACATCCGACCCATGAAACATGGCTGTCACTGCAGGACATGCTTTCCTCTGGGCCTGTGGGTGGCAGCCAGGGCTGTGGGGTGCGGGCCGGTATGCTGTAGTATTTGTGGTTCTGAGAGTGCCAGGTGGGGCTGAAGGCTGAACCCAGAGCCTCATGGGTGGCAGGCTGTTGGCCCCTGTAGAGGGACCCTGCTGGCCCAGGGACAGTGTTGTGTTTTAGAGGCCTGGGGTAACGCAGTCCTGGCCCCCATCTCTCGCCATTTACACGTGCATGTCTGGGGCAGAGCTGGGGGTTGGCACCCTGGAAGTGTTGCTTATAGGTATAAATGTCCCATTTGTCTTTCACATTGGAGGGAAATCACTGTGCCAGCCACCCACTAAGGGTCTGGACACCATGGGACAGAACAGTAGCCCCGCGCCATGCTGGCTTTGTTGCCAGACTGTGAAGCCTGTGCCTGGGTTCCATTAAGGGGCAGCTGTGGTGCCTGGGCTGCCGCACACCAGGACCTGCAGGCAGCAGCTGCCATGCATGGCCCCTTGAACCTCAGTTGCCAACTGCCGTCCTGCTGCCAGCATCCATAACTGAGAAACTGCCAAGCTGGGGCGTTGGGCTTGTGTCAGTGGGAGCCAGAGGGGTGGAGGTGCGTGGGGCAGGGGCTTGCAGAGTGCAGGGATGGAAGTGCCACTGCCCTGTGCTCAGCTAGGAGGGGTCCCCCTCCAGGCCGGCCTTCCCCTGCTGGCACCGGAGTCCTGTGTGGAACCAAGAACACCGCGGGAGATAACCCAGGCCCCGGCTACCTGGGAGCAGACGCAGGGTGCTATGACCTCAGCAGAGCCAGGGCGCTCATGGGGAGCTGGTGACCTGTGCTGGTGCAGGCGTGAGCTGTGCTCCGGGAGAGAAGTGGCTGCCACACAGGAAGGAGGCAGGCGGGCATTATTCTGCAGCACAGTGAGCTCAGTGACATCCACAGATGGCTGGGGCACTTGATCTCGGGTGTTGAGGATTCAAGGCTCGTTCGCTGGGGTTCAGACATCCCAGGCTGGGGATGCAACTCAGTGTGCACTCCCTGGCCCCACCACCAGCACTGCAGAAAGCAAGCAGCTCCTTCTAGGGCCAGAGTGCCACGCGGCTGTCAGGCCACCTCTGACAGTACCTATGGGGACACAGAACACCTCTAAGGGTGCCAAGATGGTATGGCATGGCACCTGCCCACATCTGTATGTGCTGCTCTGCAGCTGGGTCCAGAGTAAGCATGGGGACCTGGTGTAGGGGTGGGTTGTCCGAGGCATAAGCATAGGGTCTCCACCCCTTACTCCTGCTCTGTCCTCCAGGTGCAGTAGTCTGATTGATGAATCACATGAAAAGTCATTTGGAAATACCCACATTTATCAAAATAAAACGTTTATTTCTTACTGTAAAGTCCCTACAGTCTACACAGAGACTGTCTAGACAGGGCTCTCCTAGCTCTTTCAGAAAGAAGTTAACTCTCAGGGCCATGGCAACTGAGTGGCTAGTGACCGTCCTGGCTCAGGCTCCTCCATGGGAGCTGTGGGAGGACACACTACCATTGCCTTAGGGACTGGCTTTTCCCTCAGCTTCTTCTGAGGGCAAGAATGCAGGTCAGTCAGTAGCACCTGGCAGGCAGTGACTCCTGAGCCAGGGCCAGGCACCACATGTGCCTGCACAGCCTGGCTCAAGTTCTGTGGCTCTCAGGCTAGGCCTGGGCCTGGTCTGTGGCACAGGGGCCAGGCAGGATGGTGGTGCTCTCTCTACCCAGCCAGGTTGTGGGGGGAGGTGCTGGACGTGGTTTGTCTCCATGGGTCCCACTCACAAGCTGCCAGCTTGGTGTCTCAGTACCCTACACTAGGGCCTGGAGGCACTTGGGGGCACCCTACTGGGAGAGCAAAAGGGCCAGGTCTCAGGGGTTGCCGGGACAGGGATGATTTGGTGGAAGGTGCTGGGAGCATGGGAAGGCTGCTCACTGCATCCTGGGCAGGCCCTAAGGGAGAAAGCAGAGGACGGGGTACGAGTGGCCCCTGTGCTCAGGGTAGCCCTGTAGAGACCCTGAAAGCCACTGTTGCTGGTGAGGAGTCCATTCTCCAGGGGTCCAACTCTGGGGACAAATGCCAAGGTGCAATGAGCTGGGTGGAGCAAACGCCCCTACCATCACCCTCTCTCTCCTGAGGGGCTGGTGACGTGGCCAACTGGCCCCCCGTGACCCAATTCTTGATCAGTTCTTGGGACCTTGGTGAGGCTATTCTGCTGCTGCCCTGCATCAGAGGCCATGGTCCCTGGGGTTCCCCGCACCCCTTCCTCGTTGACTGTGTAGGAGCAGGAGCCTGGGGGCAGATGGGGCGCGAAGACCACCCGCAGCGTCCGTGCTGGGCGGCTGCACAGGCCCAGTGTGGTCTCTTCCTCGCGGACACGGTCGACCATCAGCCTCATGAGGAGCTGGTTGGCCCAGGTGATGCCAAGGGCTGGGCACAGGCGCTCTTCCTGGGGCCTGGGACACACAGGAAGGGATGCTGCTGCTCAGAGAGCTGAGGCTGCCCCCACCCTGTGCACAGCAGCCCGAACACTCACCCTGGCTGCTCCACGGCCTCTGTCACCTGAAGAGCAAGAGGGTCAGGTGGTGGCCAAGGGTCCCCCCTGCCCCCAGGCCTGTACCACTGCACTCACCTGGTTGACACAGAGCACAGGGCTCTGGAAGGCAGCACTCAGCCGGCGCAGTGTGGCCCCCAGTGATTGCAGGCACCTGGCACGGGTCACAGAGGCCTGGCCATCAAACTCACATCGGAACGGGGCTGCCACCGAGTCCACAACCAGCAGGCGGGCCATGCCCCGCGACAGCAGCATGGGGACCCTGCGGCTCACACACTCCAGTAAGGTGTCCTATAGGGCCGGGTGGGCGTCACTTCACAGTGGTCACTCTGCTGTGACCCATGGTGCGTCCCTCTGGCTGCCTCCTGCCACCTGGGACAGGATGTGGTGCCATGTCTCTGCCATGCTGGGCCATTCTTCACCTCCACTGACCCCTCTGCCCCAGCTCCCCCGAGGTCACTTGGGAGTGGCCAGCAAGCAGGCTGTGAAGTAGCCCTGCTGTGCCAGCTTGGCCTGCACGTGCTGGGCGTTTAGTGTGGCCCAGGCCACTGGGCAGCAAAGTATTGGAAGAGTGCAGCAGGGGCTGGACATAGGCCTCCAGAGTGGCCACATGACCAAGACCTGGCAGCCTGGGGACAAGGCTGAGGGGCGTAGCCCCAGTGGCACCAGGGTCTGGCCCAGAGTGACAGCAGTCTGCTTTTCCCCAGGGCGTCCCCAGCAGAGCCTCTCTGCGTGGAGAATGACAGCAGCAGCCTGGAAGACGCCAGCACTAATGTGAGTGTCTGCACCCCCATGGGTCCCCATGGCCCAGTCCACGCTCACCCGACCCCAGGCGTTGAGCTGTGCTTCTCCACAGTGACTGGCCCGGCCTGCTGCAGGATACCAGACGCCGCTGCCACCACCGTGGTGGCCCAGAGCTGGCCCCAGACAGCCAGGGTGAGGACGGGGCCCTCAGTTTCGGAGTGCTCGCTTGGCCTCCAGACGGCGCCGGGGAGGCTGCACTAACCACCACGCACACCCAGCCTGGTGCTGCCAGGCAAAAGGATGGCAGGCAGCATGTGGTCCCTTGGGCTACCCACTGGACCCCATATCACACCTGCCTGGCCTCCCAGGCCACCGCTCATGCGTTAGCTCCTGCGTTTGTGTGAGGATGTATTTTACTGTAAAGTCTGTAAAAGTAAATGTTTCTACCCTCATCTTCTCCGAGTCAGTGTCTTCCCAGCACAGAGTCCTACGGGCCAGGAGCTGCGGTAGGCACGCTCCTACTGCCAACCCCTGCACTCTCCCACTCACCGGGTGGCACTGTGGGGCTTCTGTCCACAGCATCTCGGGGGGTGTCCAGTGGGCTGTGGCTCTGTACCCCCTGTCCCTCTGGGCTGGCTCTGTGAGCCCCATTCCAGTGGTCACCATTGGAGGGGCTGTGTCTCATGTCCCAGCAGGGCTGTTACCACCTGTGACCTAGCTCTGCCGTCCGCCTCGTTCCCGCTGCCTGCTGGTCACCAGCCCTGCCTGCCATGTGTGTGTTCCTGGGGCTGTGGGTGACTCACCACATCAGCTGCGTGCTCCACAAAGATCTGGTCCCCGAACCTGATGTTCCGGATCACCTCAGCTGGCACGTCTGTGCGCAGTCTTGGCTGCTGGGCAATGAGCTGCCGGAGCCGCTTGCTGGGGAAGGTGTCCTCCGTGCAGATGTAGATGGCCCCTGTGGAGCCAGAGTCCACTGTGTCTGCCATGGGTGGCACCGCTGTCCCATGCGGACGTCCTCCACCTTCATTCTGCCCTCTGCACCCCATTCCACCTGTGGCCCCATCACAGGCTCTGAGCCAGCCATGTGCAACATAGGGACCGCCAGGCCATGGGGGTTTTGCAAAGGTCCTTCCTTGTTCCCAGAGACCCCCTGTCTCCTGACATTAGTGCAATAGCCTCAGCCATGTGGCTATGGCCAGGGCTTCCCTGCTCCTGGAAGAGCCCAAAAGCATGTCACAAGCGGGGTGTCACCTGAAGCCTGCGCCAAAGCCCGCAGATGGCAAGAACCTGGCCACCCTGTGAGCCCCTTTACTCCCAGCACTTGGGAGACCGAGGCAGGAGGACTGTCACAAATTCGAGACTGGCCTGGGGTACACCGTGGGTTCAGCCAGCCTGGATTACATAGGGAGACCCTGTCATTAAAAAAAAAAGGAAACAGTAGCCACAAGGATGAGCCAATGGGGAAAGGGTGGTTTCTCCACCAAATGCTGCTGGGCCAGCTGGTGTTGCAGGCCAGGGAGCGCACAGGTGCTGCATCCTGACAGCTGCCTCCTGTGGGCTGCTGGGAGCCACACAGAAAACTGCGCAGAGCTTCACCACCTTGGTCAGACAGGGCGCGCTGAAGACTCCAAAAACACCAGCAGCAGCGAGGAAAGCCTCGACTGAAGACGGAAGCCGCTGTGCTCCGCAGGACACCAGCAAAGGACCACAGTGAGAGGCCCTGCCCACTGCGTGGGACGTGGACCCGGAGGAGACAGGAGGCTGAGGCAGAACTAGTTCAGATCCGGCCTGGGCAGCTTAGACCCTAAGAAGGGGCCACCTTATGAGTGTGAAGGCCCTGGTCCCCATCCCAGCACAGAGCAGGACAAAGGAAATGAGAGATGAATTTTGGGGACATGCGAGAGGGTGTCTTTGGCAAGGCAGCCTGGGACTGGCTGGGGGGCACAGGACAGGGCCTCCTAGGGCACATGGGCCCGGCCGTCTCAGCACTGCTGGCCTCTGGCTCTGCAGGCAAGGCTAGGCTGTGTGTACGGTGCAGGCCTGGCCCGGGGCTGCCCTGCACTCACCGGCCTCCAGGCCCCCGTGCTGCTGCGGGAACTGCACAGCCAGGCAGAGCTGCAGTGCCAGCTGGGTCTTTCCTGCCGAACTGCGGCCAGCCAGCTCCGTGATGCCGTCCAGGGGCAGCCCGCCACCCAGGAACCGGTCCAGCCATGGACAGCCGAGGCTCAGACGCTGGTGCTGCGTGGGGAAGTGCTCCCTCTGCTGGTACAGCTGCAGCACTGTGGGGACAGGTGGCTAGTCACAAGGGGCAGCCCAGGAAGCCTGGACCAGGGCCACTGAGCTGGGATGCCCCGCCTGGGCACCCCCGGCGGCAGTGTGAGCAGCAGCTGCCTGCGCACCTCACCCTGAGGCAGTGCCCAGAGCCACGTTAGTGCACACATGAGGCCCCCAAGGAGGAACCTGCACCCTGGGCAAGGTCAGGGTGTGTCTTGGGCTGGGCCAGAGAAACCTGCGGGGAGTGATCCCCCCATGCTGGTGGCAGCAGCAGGAGCCACAGAGTGACTCAGTCCCATGACAACAGCAGCCAGCGGTCCCATTGGACTGCAAGCTGCAGACAAGAGAGGCCCTCTGCAGAGACCCTGTCCTGCTGGGATGCAGCATCCACACTGTAGGGACCCCTGCAAGTCCCTCTGCTGGCCTGGCCTCTGCGGCAACACCACAGCCCAAGGCCCTGAGACCTGCTGTGTCCTCCGTGGATGCCAGACTGTGATCCTGCAGAGCAGGACCAGCAAGGCCAGGACCCAGCCTGTGCATGGTCACTGTCTACCTGTGAGCACGCAGTGGCCCCGAAGGTACATGGCAGCTGCTGTCAGCAAGCGCTGGATGTCGGGGCTGGACAGGCCAGTGCATCTCTGCAGGTCAGGTCCAGATACACGCAGGACCTCCTTCACGGACTTCAGGCCAGCTGCAGTTACAGGGTGAGAGAAGTGACCAGAGAGCTAGACCTTGGGCTCTGGGAGCCCGGGAGTGACAGCAGCTGTGGAGGTGGGCCAGCTCCTCCTCAGGCGTCCCCCCCCCCCCCGTAAGTCACCCTGTTTCACTAGGATGCTCTCAAGGGAGACAAGAAGTCACTCGTTTTGCTCCCCTGTAATCCCAGCACCCAGGGAGACTTGAGACAGGAGGTCTGCAAGTTTGAGCCCAGCTTGGGAAACTTGGTGACTTAATTAAAAAAAAAAAAAAAAAAAAAAAAAGCTAGGGTTGTGACCCAGTGGTTCTCTCCAGTACCCAGGCAAAAACGGGACCGTGGCTTCACATCAACAGGGCACGCAGACTACCCCCGTCTGGTCACCGAGAGACACAGACAGCAAAGGTCCAGGCAGAACTTTCAGACTGCAGTTTCAAACACGCCCAAAGGCCTGACCCCCTCGCCCTGCACTTTCACTCAAAACAGGCTTGGGAGGGTGGTCCTGCTGTCCACCCTGGCTCTCAGCATCGGGGACCAGGGCACCCTAAGGAAAGTTCATTTCCCGTAAGACAAAGCAGAGGAGGCACTCCTGCGGAGCCTGCAGGCTTCCTGTGACCATGACCTGAGCTGGAGGCTAAGAAAACACAGCCCAGACAGACCCTGTTCCATGTGTAAACCGGCAGAACCCTAAGGTTCAGCAGTCCCGACAGATACCCCAGGAGGTAGGGAGAACGGATAGGAGGCCCAGAGCCACAGCCCTACACAGCAGCAGGGCCCAGGAAGCTCAGCAGGGGTGGCAGGAGGAGCCCAGCAGGGCCAGCTCAGTGACTCAGGAGACCCGGCCTCAAAAACGGAACAGGTTGGAGAGGGAGGCTTCACCCCAGCGCTGCCAAGCAAGTGCACAAAACCACAGCCACGGAGTCAGCAGAGCTGGGGAGTCTGGTGCCTTCCTAACAGGGACACAAATACACTCAGGACCAGGGCCTCCAGGGGACGCGCCTCTCCCAGGACAAGAACCCACCTCTCTTCAGGGCTGCCAGGACCCTGGGATTCAGGTCCAGCTGGTCCAGCTCCATGTCTTTGCAGGTGACGGCTTCCCAGGGTGGGGCAGAGGGCGCACTGGCTGGGAGACAGCGAGGAAGGTGGGTGGCTTGCACTGGGCTGCTGGACCCCATGACCCGGGTCCACATCCCGGGGGTCACGGGGCATCCTGCCATACCCAGGACAAGGAAAGGCGTCCTCTGGGCTGTGGCCTCACAGGCGCTGAATTCACCTCAAGCCACATACAGGGTCCCGCCGCTCAAGCCGCCTAAGGTGGGCTCACAAACCCACAGCAGCTGTGGTGTCCCTCAAGTGGGTCTCCATGGGGACCTGGGCGGCAACAACGGGATCTGGGATGCCTGGCCGGGTCACAGAAGTCTCCCACCCCCAGGTCCTCCTAGTGCTGGGAAACGCTACTCGTGCTTGGTTGGTGCCTTTTGGGCTGGACACGACGCTGACCAAGGCACTTTGGAGGTCACCTGAGCCCGAGGGTGCACTTTCTGCGGGGTCACAGACGCCTGCCCTCCCCAGAGTGTGACAGGGAGGACGCGTGGGAACAACGCAAGGGCGACTCAGGAGCTGCAAAGGAGCCAGGCCTCTTCTAGTCACAGGCCGAGACCTGGGGTCTGGCGTCAAGCGGCTGTTGTGGGGACGTCAGCTCCCCACGGGCGAAAGCCAGCAGGAGGGGAGACGCCACGGAAGCCCGGGGCCACCAGGACGCCTCTCGGGCAGGGGTCACTCGGACAAGGGTAGCGGAGCGCTGGGAAGGGAGGAGGGCAGGGGCGAGCGCCCGGCCGGCAAGGTCGCTGGGCCTCCAAGACAACAGGCAAATCGAGGTTTCCACGCCAGAGCAAGCTGCGCGTGGAGACGCAGGCCGGTGGTCCCAACACTCGGGGGGAGGGGCTGAAGCAGGAGCACCACAAGTTCCAGGCCGGCCAGGGCAACGTGAGCGCCGTGAGTCCCCGCCGGGTCGCTCACGCTTGCGTCGCAACAGACCCAACCCGAAAACCAAATGTGTGGAGGGCCCCGAAGGGGGCGCTCCCCCCTCGGCGCTGCATACGCCGCGGCCCCGCGAGGTCAGGTTCCGCGGGACCCGACCATACGGGTTTAGCAAGAGCCCCGCCCACCTGAGCCCGGCCTTGCCCCATGGCCTCTGAACCCCGCTGACCCAGCCGCACCCTCGCCGCGAATTCCGGGTTCGGTTGGTTCCTCCGAGCGCCGAGCACCGCGCGCCGCGCGCTCCACGCCCCGCCCGATGTGGCGGCCAAGACTTCCTCCGTTGTTCCGGCACGAGAAACCTCGCGCCCTTACCTCGCGCGTGCTCCACTCGCCTCTCCACGCCGTCCCGCCCCTTTTCACCTTTTCTTCCAATGAGTGCCGGGCGCCCTGAGTCGTCCACACCAATCAGAAAGAAAGCGTCGTAGAGGTTTGACGAATTAGCCAATCCGAAGTCTCAATCCTTCCGATAGGGGGTGGACCGATCTTAGGCCCGCCCCATCCTCGACTGGTGGCCGACCGCAGAGTGGTAGGGGTGGGGCCCTTGCGCTGATTGGAAAGGACTGTGATGGGGCGGAACCTTGGCTTCGATTGGTCCTTGGTCTGAGTACAGCCTGATGATTGGGCTTTTGCGCTGTCAGTCGCGCGGGGCGGGGCCGCTCGGCTGGGTGCGGGGCCGAGTGCGGCGCGAGGAGTTGAGGTGGCGACATGTCCTCGGGGCTGGCCGCGCACCGCGACGCCAAGAAGCTGGTGCGCTCACCAAGCGGCCTGCGCATGGTGCCCGAGCATCGCGCCTTCGGAAGCCCGTTCGGCCTGGAGGAGCCGCAGTGGGTCCCGGACAAGGAGGTGCGTCCTGGCTCCCGCGTCCCAGAGCGCTTCGACCCCGACACAGCCCCCGCGCCCAGTCCTCCAGCGCAGGGGCCCCGCGTGCGGAGCGCGCCCGCCCAGGTGCGGCGCCCGGCCGCCGTGAGCTCGGCCGTGTCGGAGGGAGGAGGGCGCTTCGGCGAGCGCCCTGGCTGCTTAGCTCAGGGAACCGAACTTTCGGCCCGGGTGCCGCGAGCCCTGCGCTCCCGCCCCGGATCGGTTGCTCCCCGCCCTCGGGGCGCAGCCTCGGCGGGGCCAGGAGTGGAGGGACTCCGGGGGAGCGGGGTTCTTCGAGGAGGGCGCAGGCAGGGAGAGAGGATGCCCTTACCGTGGCAGCGCTGCCCGCGCTCCCGGCTGGCGGCCTCCGAGCCGCAGTCCGAACCCGTACTTTGCCCGGCCGCGCTGGGGGACCCGCGTCTGCCCCGCGTGCCGACTGGAAAGGGTAGCGGAGGGGCGGGAGTGAGCGAGCGTCGCGTCCACGGTGAGACGCTCGGGAGGTAACTCCGAAGTAGCCGGTCCGAGCCCGACCGGAGCGAAGTCCCCCGGAGAGGCGGCAGAGCGGGCAGCGCAGCCGCATCGACGAGGGGCAGCCGCTGCGGAGGACGGAACAGGCTCCAGCTTGTGGCGGAGGGCTTCGCGTAGCCTCGCCGGCGGCCTTAACCTGTTCCTCCTTTTTTCCCCTGATGCTCCCCAGATAAACGTTTTAGATTTATTTTTCCTAGTCGTGCTTCGTAAAGTTTTGTGCGGGACTTTTTATTTTCGAGACAGGGACTTGCCATGTCGGGCTATTTTGAACTCAACTTGGAGTCCAGGCTGGCCTTGAACTCACGGCAGCCCTCCTGCCTCAGCCTCCCGAGAGAACTGAGATTACAGGTGTGCGCCTCCATGCCCAGCTGAACAGTTTTCCAGCGAATGTGGAGTCGCTGAGGGGCAGCGCTGGCCGGCCAGTGCCGACCTACCTATCTCCACCACGCGGGAAGCTCCCGTCCCAGCTGGACTGGGAACTTTGCCTCGTTGGCGTGAAGCCAGTCTTGCCTCCTCTTAACCGCGCAGCCTCTGAGCAGTTTGAGCGCGAGGTGGCTCCGGCAGCCACTTGGTCGCTGACTAAGTTAGGTCGCACACTGGTCTGTGTCCTCGCGGGAGGACAGAGCCAGGACCGGGCTGGCCCGTAAAAGTTGATTAGCTTAGGTGTCAGCGGCTAAATGCCTTTGGAGGGCTGGAGTTACAGCTGGGGTGAGGCCCGGGGGAGCCCCAGCCAAAAGTGCAGTTCAGTTCTGTGGGGCACGGTTTCAGGGTTTCTTGGAGAACTGAGAAGGGGATCTGGGGGACCTGGGGGAATGCGCGGCTGCAGCCTGACCGTCCTGGCCCACAGGGCTCGACCTCAATGCCCGGTGGAGGTGGTCTGGCTCACCGTGCCCAGGGGCTGGGTTCGCCACCCCTCAGCTCCTAAGTTAGCCCCTCCTGGTGTGTGGAGCCCGATGCGGCCCCCCACCCCCAGGGCCTGCCCGCCCCTTGGTGTCTGCTGAGTACATAGGTGTGCCTGCACGCCGATGGGGCCCACTGTGCCTAGGGCCATGCCCCAGGGGCCAGGAGGAGAGGCCTGGGCTGCCCTTTGTCTACCAGGTGGACCTCTGGGAGTCGCCAGCGCTGGGAGAGGCTGGAAGGGCTGAGGCAGGGACGGGGCCTACAGGAATGCACGGAGAGCAGCTGCTGGGGTCAGGACTGACTGGGTTGGGTGCCCCCAGGGCGGAGAAGCCAGGCCAGTGTTCCAGCAGGGACAGAGGAAACCGCGCCCCGCCCCCAGGCTTCCGGACCCAGCAGGAGGCCCGGGAGCCCCTGGGGACTCTGCCTGCGCCCTCAGGTGCTGAGTGTCCCAGGTGCTGGCTGAGCGGAGGCCGTCGGGGTCCTGCCCTTGCCTTGCTGCTCCTGCCCCAAGTAGCAGGGGGGTCCGCTCATTGCGCTGTGCCAGGCTTGGCCCGGGTCTCTGCAGCAGTCCCACTCCTGCTCCTGGAAAGTGATTCTCTGGCTGTAGCGACCGGCTGAAGTCCCGCGGGTGTGCAGACTCCTTGGACATGACATGACAGACTTGTGAAACACCCAGGCAGAGCTGACCTAGAGCCCCTGGGGCCGCTTGCCACTGCTTGTGCCCTAGGGACCGCCTCAACCTCTAGGCCAGCTGTCCTCAGCCTCTTCTGGGCGAGCCTTGGGTTGCTGGGCAGGGGCTGGAGCCTGGCCTTGGGAAGTGGGGGTGGTGGTGGCTGCTGCCGCCTTGGTGTCCCTGACCCCGTCTCGTCTCAGCTCCCGGGGCTGCTCCTTCCTCCTCTCCCTGTGCGGGGTGGAGCAGGCCCTCACCCTACGAGGCTCACACTCTGCCACTGAGCTTCCCTCTCTGTTTTGGTTTGAGACAGTCTCGTGGAGTTGCCCAGGCTGCCCTTGACCTTGTGATCTTGCTTCACAGTGGCTATGGTTACAGGCCTGTGCCTCTGGGGTGGGACAGGAGAAAGGAGATGGGGAAATCAGAGTGTCCAGAACCCAGCAGAGTTCCCCAGGCCATCTGCACCAGCGTCCCGTGGTTACATCTGGGCCCCAGATTCCTGGGGTGGCCTCACAGGTTCAGGATGCTCCTGAGACGGCAGGTTGGGCTGATCACAGAATGCTTGAGCCACCTGTGCCCCAAAAAGCCACCCACACCCGGAGCCTGGGCCGGCACCCTCAGGGCTGGCGCCTGCTCCTGGGCCTCCTACCCCTTCCACAGAAGCGCAGAACCCCCCTTCCAGGAACCCGCATGCCCCACTTCTCTGCACACGCTCTGCACCCTCGGGTGACCCTAAGTCTCTGCCTAGGAACTTCCCAGCCTGTGGCCTCCTGTGATGTAGCCCTGGTGGTACTGTCTCCCAGGGCCAGGCTCTGCACTGGGCAGGGACAGCAGGGGACTCTGCCTTCCTACTGGCCTCCCTTGGGCCCTGTGCCTGTCACCACCTGCCCAGCCCAGCCCAACTGCTGGCCGTAGGTCCGTTCATCCATCCATCAGTCTCGCTGGGCAGTGGTGGTAGCCCCAGCCCTCTGGGTGTGGTGCTGCTGGAAGCCACTCCGTGGGAACAGAGGTGTCACCTGGGACCCTGGACCTCGTGTCTTCTTGGTCCCCTGAAGAAGCTGTCACCCGCAGTGCGGACCTGAGCTTGCAGGGCTGGCCGGCCATGGCTGTCCCTAGATTTCCCTGTAGTGAGGCCAAGGCTGGTCACATGGCGGGAGTTTTCCTCTCCTGTCTTCACCAGTTTTATTTTATTATTCCGTTACCAGGTTAAACTGCTGTTTGAGACTTGAAAATTTTTTCACTAATAAAATGAACAGAAGTTACTTTAAAACGCAGCCCCTTTTCTGAGTAAGCACATGAGTTGGAGCGAGGAGGAGCCTGCGGCTTGTTTGTGTTTGGAAGACGGAGGTGGGGAGCCTGGAGAGCAGCTCCCGGGTGGCGGGCACTTGGCACTTGGCGGCCTGGGCTTTGGGCAGAGGCCCCCAATGCAGGGGCAATGAACTGTGACCCGTGGGCCCCTCCCAGGCTCCTGGCCAAGGGGAGGGCAGGCTAGCGCCAGGGGGACTTCTGCAGTGCTTCACCGAGTGGAGGTGCACGGGGCTGGGGGTGCCCATGGGAGTCCCCGTTGGGGGAACCCTCGGCGGACGTACAGGCCCTGCCAAGTTGCGGAGGGCACTCCCCACCCTGCCTCCTCTCCAGGGGGAACTGTCCAGTCCCGAGATCTGGAGCACAGGGGCCCTTGTTGTGCCGTCCAGTGAGTCACTGGACTGTGTAACCCAGCACTGGGGGCTCTGCCCTGTGTCTCTGCTGAGGGTGCTGTGTGTCTATCACCTGTCACTCCGGCCAGCTGTGTCCTTTCCGAGGCCCAGAAGGAGCCAGCTTCTGAGGCAACTGGGCGATGCTCCTGCCAGATTGCCCACTGTGCTCAGCCTCAGAACCTGTGCCTGAGTCTGGATGACCCTGGTAGCCACAGGACCCAGTCCCAGTGTATCTGGAGATGTTGTCCCCAGAGAGTGCATTTGTGCCCGGTGCTGGGAACCTACCGTGGTGCCATCACTCTGGTGGCCCACTCCTGCCTCGGACAGAGCCCACAGGCTTCTGCCCTGCTGCTGACCTCGAGAATACAGAGACCCCGCCACCTGGAGTGGGCTCAGCCTCCCCTTCTCAGGAGCCACTGCTGAGGACCCCCCACTCCTGCCGCTCCCTGAACCCTCGAGGCCCTGCGGTGGCACTGGCCAGACAGAGCAAACCCCTGTGCTGATTTCACATCCTGGCTTAGGGCTTCTGTGGGGATCTTTCCTCTGCAGGCTTCCGCCCTTCCTTTAGGAGGTGGGGTGGCCCCCTAGGAAGGACCAGGGCGCCACCAACCCCCGAGTACCATACTGCAGACTCAGTTGTGGGACAGTCAGGCCACATGGCCTGGGCCCCAGGTGGGGCTGGAGGCTGGTGTCCGGCTCTCCAGTCCCAAGGCCCTGACCTCGGTGTCCGCTGTGCTCTCCCCTAGTGCTCCAGATGCATGCAGTGTGAGGCCAAGTTTGACTTTATCACCCGCAAGGTGAGCAGAGGCTGCCAGCGCCGCCGAGGTGCACAGCCTGGACCCGGCCTGTCTCCGACCCCCTTTCCAACAGCCAGGCCCAGGGGTCATGGGGGCCGCTCCCCAGGGCGCTCCCCGCCCCTCAGAGCATCCTGTGCCCCATCCCAGCTGTGGTGGCCCGTGTGGGGCTTCCCGGGCAGTCACTGGACAGTCGAAGACCCCGGAGCACCCCAGACCACTGTTGTAAAACAGGGCTTCACTTCCTGACGGAGGCAAGCCCTGCTGGGTGATGGGGGGCCCTTGCGCGAGAGGCGTGCACTGGGGGTGCCCTGGTCCAGCTTACCACCCCCACCCTGTCCCGCCAGCACCACTGCCGCCGCTGCGGGAGGTGCTTCTGTGACCGCTGCTGCAGCCGCAAGGTTCCACTGCGGCGCATGTGCTTCGTGGACCCGGTGCGGCAGTGCGCGTCCTGTGCCCTGGTGTCCCTCAGCGAGGCTGAGTTCTACGACAAGCAGCTCAAGGTGCTGCTGAGCGGTAAGGTGGGCCCAGCCTCCCCTGCCCCGCGGCCAGGCAGCTGCAGCCCCTTTCTCCTGGGATGCACAGAGAAGCTGCCGCAAAGCCAGCCCTGCTCCCCACGCTCAGCAGCCTTCTCCTGGCTGTGGCCCCAAGCCTGGCCTGGCAGGGAGCGGCCACGGGGCGTCCTCCGCTGGCTGTGCCACCTGAGCCTGTGCGGAGCTGGTGGGGCCCGTGTCTTTCTTGTGGGGCGGGAAGGAACTCCGTCAGGGCGCGCCTGTCCTCTGGCCCTAACCCCACGCGGCCCCTTCGAGGGTCCCTGGAGGAGTGTGGCAGGGAGAGAGACACTTGTGACATACCCAAGGCCTGCGGGCTGCTCACATCCCTGAAGTGCAAGAGGGTTGGCTGTCGCTGTGTGAAGGCAGCAGGTTACCTTTGCCGTTTGGTTTTGTCTCAAGGAGCCACCTTCCTTGTCACGTTTGGGAACTCAGAGAATCCTGAAACCATGGTCTGTCGCCTTTCCAACAACCAGAGGTAAGAACTGTCCCGCGTGGCACCGGCTGGCGATGGCAGGGCTGCGGGCAGAGGGGACAACACGGGCTGCTTGTCTGTGCAGATGCCTGATCCTGGATGGGCGCAGCCGCCATGAGATCGAAGTTGCACACATCTCTGCCGTGCGCGTCCTCACCGAGGGACCCGCTCCCGGAGGTACAGCCGGCCTCTGCGGCCTGGGGTGGTTGTGGCTTTGGCTTTAGGCTCCGTGGCCAGGGGCTCAGCCCGGAGGGTGTGCGGCAGCGCCCCTGCGCACAGGCCTGCGGGGCGGCCCTTGCTGGGTTCTACCTCTCCGCATTCGGCTCCTTCTCTCCGATGCTGCCTGTCCTCTTGATGTAGAAAAAGACTCAGGCTGCTGCCGGCCTCCCAGGGAGCCCGCCTGCCTTGGAAGGCCAGCCTGCCGCTGCTGCTGGTCTGGTCCGGTCCGGTCCGGCCTGGTTCCTTTGGCTGCCTGTGGTACGGCCCATGCCTGGGCCCCTGGGAGGTTCCTGGCCACTTCTTTTGGTTGAGGAAAGAAATGGTGTCCGATGTACGGGGCTGTGACTGAATGTCCCCACAGGAAAAGCCTTCTGTTCAGGGGCAGCCTCGGCCGACGGCCCTGAGCAGGCCGGGCCGGCCCCTCCTGGCTCCTGGCCAAGCTCTGGGCGTGGCCGCGTGCACTGACTCAGACTTGGTGTGAGCACAGGCTCTGGGGAGCCCTGGGCACCCGGCCCTGCTGCAGCCCTTCCAGGCCACAGAGGCGGGGTGGGGACGGGGGCCTCTGGCCCGGTGCCGCACACAGCTGTCCTTGCCTGCCCCTCCGGGTAAGCATAGGGCCAATGGTACAGTGTGACTTTGGGAGTGGTGGCTGTTCTCTGAGTTTTCTGGCTTCTGTGCAGATGAGGGTGAGGACAGTGTGTGCTGTGCCCTGCCCAAGCAGCGTGAGCAACCACATGCCAGCCTTGTGTTCTGCAGGGATTGGGGCACATGAGCAGCCAGCAGTTAGCCGCTCTCTGCTGGCCTGGCACCTGTGGAAGCACCTTGACAGACAGGTGTGTCCAGAGCTGGGCAGCGGGTAGAGGCAGTGTGGCCAGCACCCCAGGCTGTGCATGAGGCCCCAGGCCTTGGAAGTAGGATGTGGCTCCCACAGGCACGGGCAAGGGTCTCTAGCTTGCCCTTGGCTCAGCCCAGCCTGGTCTGTGACCTGACCCTCTGACTACACCCCTGAGTGTTGTGGGAGGGCAGCAGTTTCCAGGTGCAGCCCTGTTTGGGAGGGAGCTCTCAGGAGCCTGCAGCTGCTAGGGGCTTGTGCTAGCGGGCACCACTGGTAGCCTCCAACCTCTAGGCACGATGGGCCCCTGCCTGGCCTGGCCATGGACAGGTATTGTCTTAGGTTCTCTGAAGGGAGCAACGGGGACCTGAGGGTCCCAGGAACTTATCTGAGAACAGGGCCCCGGCTCCAGTGCTGCCCCTTGCCCCCTGTGAAGTGGGACCCCATGCTGTGGCCTGAGCAGCACAGGTGGATGGTGGCCCCCCCACCACTGACCTGTCTGCCCTTCAGGAGGCAGCGCCCGGGCTGCAGGCATGTGCTTGCAGTATATGGTGCCAGGGTCCGAAGGCGTGGCCCAGCTGAAGCTGATGGCTGGGGAGGACTCGAATGCCAGCAAGAGGCCGGCGGCAGCATGGCTGGCGGCTATGCACAAGGTACCGTGTCCAGGCGGGGGCCCTGGCCGGGTGGCACACACACCCGGCAGGCACCCAGGCTTAGCGCAAAGGGTGTGCTCTGTGCTGCTTACTTCTCATCACCCGCAGGCCACCAAGCTCCTCTACGAGTCGCGGGACCAGTGATGCACGTAAGAGCCAGCTGTAGAGGACATCGGTCCTGTGACCATGACCCAGCGGCTCGCTTCGCCCAGCACCGCAGGGCTACCCAGCCAGGGCTGGAAATGCAGCTCGAGCATCTGCGTTCATGTAGTGCAATACATACAGTCTGTTAACCCTTTAATCCTGCGTGTGGCTTCCACTGTCCTGTTGAGCTCGCTGGGCAGGGAGGAGGAGCCACACGTGCCTGCCCTGGGTGCACTGTGGCCGCCCCCAACACACCCTGGGCAGCGCTCCCTGGGGCCCTGCAGGGCCCAGCCAACACTAACCAGGCGGTGAGCACGCTGTGACCCTCACTGCAGACGGCTCCGCTGTTTCTACTTCTCACTCACTGCCTCACTTTATTAAAATGACAGTACAGCAATTTGTATATAAAGCATACAATTAAAACCTATTTTGAAAATATGCGCAGGCTCTGGCCGCTGCTTCCAGCCTCAGAGGCTCCTTCTGTCCGCAGAGCACACAACTCGCAGCACCGGCAAGGCCCAGGGGCAGTGGTCACACAGTGTCTGGGCATCTCGTGTTTGTACACAAATACACAAAACCACACGTGAAAAGTAAAGCCTGGGGCCTGTGTTTTAATGAGGTGACACATTTTCAGCTTGGCTCTGGTAGTCTGATGTGGGCAGGGGACAGTCATCTTGGTGTGTGAGGCCTGTCCATGGCACAAGCTGGGGGCGTTGCCCGCGCTGGGTGGAGCACAGACCTGGAGTTTGGCTACTGTGCTCTGGCAACCCAGGCAGCTGCTGCCCATCAGGCCCCAGCCAGCTCCCTCCAGAGGTCTGGCCCTGCCCCAAGGTGCCACAGAGCCCAGGGCACCAGTGCACCCAGCAGGGATGGATTCCAGCTGTGCAGCCAGAGGCTCAGAAACCAGAGGATCATGGGAGGCTGGCCCAGGGCCAGCAAGAAGCAGAACCCCCGAATCATCCTGCAGGGGCCCTAGAGGACACACACGTTGGGCACTTTCCACCCGGATTCCTTTGGTGATGAAAGGGAAGATGGTGGAGGGGTGAGGGGCAGGGCACATCTAGCACGGCCAGGCCGGGCAGTCAGAGCTTATCTTCACTGGCAGCCAACCAGGGGAGAGGACAGTGACAGGGCTTTTGTATTGGCGACAGGGGTAGGTGTTCTGAAAGCTGAGTATTTATTTGGATTTATAGTAATTGGCAAAATTGAGTCTTGGAGGCAAAAGTACCTCTCCCAGTTACAGTCAGACTGGAGAAAGGGCCTCACCTGAAGTGTGGGGATTCACATTGTGGATGCAGTCTGCTAACGTGAGCACCGTGAGACCACCCAGCTGAGCTTTCCTGGGACAGCAGAGTTGCCTCCAGCAGCTCCAGGGAGCCGGCAGACCGTGGTGCTCCAGGGGAAGTTCAGGCAAGCGTTCGCTGCCGGGGCTTGATCCGTGGATATAACTAGGGAGCAAGCGATCAGAGTCAGGGCCAGGGTCCCCTGAGCAGCCCTCACCTGGCCCTGCCACCCAGGAGTGCGTGGCTCGGCCTGCACACAGCAGCTCCCTCCACTGAGCCCAGAGTGCCCTGAGGTGTCCTTCCAGCGCTGCCTGGCCCAGCGGGAGCCACTGCTACCCTGCCTCCACCCCCGGCATCCTGGCAGCCCGAGCCCTCTCGGGAAGGGGCCTCTGCAGAGCCATCCAACTGGCCCCCCAGCCTGGACCGCGCTGCCGGGGGCGCTGAGGCCTATGCATGAGGAATCTGGCCCGAGCGCCAAGTCTTACCCCCAGCAGGTTCTTGGGCACATAGCCCTCCCGGTCCCCAAGGCGAGCCCACCACCACTCAGTCTCGTTGTCGTCCTTGCGCCTTAGGATGGTGATGGCATCCCCTTCGTGGAAGGCCAGCTCGTCACTGTTCTGGGCCTCGTAGTCCCACAGGGCGTACACCACACCTTTGTTCATCACTCCCAGCTTCTCCTGCACCCCTGGGAGTGGAGGCTGAGAGTCAGGCCCTGCAGAGGGCAGTCCACGGGCCTGGACTGGGTGGGCCTGCTGCTGCCCAGGGAGCCCATGCCACGTGAGACCCGGCAGGCCGTGCTGCTGGAACCCACGCACACCCTCCCTAGACAGAAACTGTCTCTGAGGGGCTTCAGTCAGCCACGGCAGTGCAATGCCAGGAGACTGCGTGCGCTCTGCTGTTGGGCAACAAGAAAGTCTACATGTTCACGACAGGTGCAGGGTTTTCCAAATATTCCAACCCACAAGTGGTTGAATCTGCAGACTCGGAGCCGATTGTACTGCTGAAATCTTGTGCCTGGGGCCCTCCTCTCTCGCTGCTCCAGCTCTAGCAGCTTCTCCCATCATGGGTTCATGGGACAAAGGAGGGACTGGCACCAGCACAGGGACAGTGACAGCAGCACTGTGTGGCAGTGCTGCCTGGCCCAGCCCCCGCTCTTCCCTAAGGGTTCCCACGCTCAGCACAGCCCGCGCTGGCCCCTCAGCCCATATGCCGTGTGCAGAATAAGCCGCACGGACTGCCCCGTGAGGTTGCTCCCAGGACAGGGCCGAGGCGCCCCACGTACCGTAGAGAAACTGGGAGCACTGGATGTAGCCCTCCTCCATCTCCTCACACTTGTCGGCGGCAGTCTCGATGTCGCTGATGGTGGAGGCGAAGATGGCCGCGCCGCTCTCCACCAGCTGCTTGCACAGGTGCACACTGTTGCAGGAGGCGGCGCAGTGCAGCGGGGTCCTGGAAACACAGCCACGGTGAGCCTGTGGGCACTGCCCCCGCCAGGCACGCCTAGGCCACTGCCCAGTGGCTTCTACCGTCAGGCTGTCTGGACCACAGGTAAACTGCTGGGAAACAGCGGGGACCACACTGGGAGTGGCTGACAGCGCCAGAAAGGAAAGTGCAGCCCTCGGAGCAGCCAGGTGTGCTCACCACGGCAGTGAGAAGCTGCTCACGTGCAGCAGAGAGCTATGTGCAGGTCCGAGGCAAGCCCATGGGAGGAGCGAGCAGCAGACCCGTCCCCCAGACGGGGCAAACAGTGCAAACACCTAAGTGTCCAGCAAGGGACTTGGCTTTCCATACATTCACATTTATGAATGCGTACAGAATGCCTGCAAGGAGGGAGAGTAATTAGCAGAATGCATGGGTTACACATGGCCGATGAGGCGTACGAAGAGCACGCACACAGCTGTCTTTCACCGAGTAATCCAGAGAGAAAACTGCAAAGACACACGTGACAGAGCGCTGACAGCCAGGGTCCCGGGATGGCATGATGGGTACTCGCTACCTTCTGCCGTGCTTCCCAGTTCTGTCTGTGCACGTTGGGCCAGGGAAGGGGCGGGAAGGATGCTCTGGACCTGTCATGCACACCCACATGCTCTCCATGAGGAATGTCGTCATGCACTGTGGATATGGACTGACCCTGCTTTTTTGGTACTGGGGATCAAACTCATGACCTCACACTTGCCAGGCAGGTGCTTAAGCCACTGAGCTAAATCCCCAGCCCTCACTGACCCTTCTTAACCATGCTTCCCTTTGGAAGGTGGGAATCTGAGTCTGCACCCCACAGCCCTGGGCTCACCATCCGTCGCTGTCAGCAGCATTCACGTTGACCCCGAAGTCCAGCAGAAACTTGACAATGTGGTGGTGACCAGCACAGACGGCGTTGTGCAGCGGGGTGATCCCCTCGTCGTTGGGTTTGCTGGGGTCCTCCACCTGAGACACAGGGCCCATGAGAGGCTGCCACCCCAGACGACATCCGACCGCAGCTCAGGGCGTGGCTCACCTCGTAGATGATCCTCTGCACCAGGTCAAACTCGCCTTCTAAGGAAGCATCTAGAAGCAGGGCCAGGGGGTTGAAGCGCACTCTGAGCCCGTGCCCCGTCCGCTCTGAGTTGGGCTTCTTCAGGTTGGTCCGTTTACTCTGCAGGGAGGAAGTGCACTTTCAGCATCCAGGTGAGCCCCCAACACAAAGCCAGGCACGACCTGTGCTAGAGGATCCAAGCCCCAGCTGGTGACCGGGCCGTAGGCCCAGCATGCACAGGACCCTGGGCTCCTGCTCACTGTGGGTGCAGCTGACTGCCAGCTGCTCCTCCCGGGTGGGCACCACAGGAAGTACAATCTGCACTGCTGGTTGAAGCTGTGCCCACGGGCACCAAGAGTTGGAACCTACTGTGGTGCAACTGTCTTCCCAGCAGAGGCCTTCAAGAGGAGCCAGGCTCTCCCTGTGGACATCTGTCTAGAGAGCTCATCCCTTCCCATCAGCCTATTCTCCAGGTTCCAGTGGGAGTCCCCTGCAGCCCCTTCCCCCTACCCCAGGTCAGTGGGGCCCTCAGCCCCTTCTCTCAGCCTAATTCTGGGTGCAGGGGCAGCCCGAGCAGGCAAGAGCTGGGGAGGACACCCACCACGGAGGCTGCTTGGGGGTGGACGGCCGGGGACAGTGCTGCTGGCGGGACCTGCTCCTCCACTGGAGAGGGAGCCTCGGCCAACGGGCTGGGGATCTGCTCCATGGGGGGCACTGTGGCGACATTGTTGTTGTCATCCTCTGTAGGCTCGGCCGTCTGGGGCGTTGTCTGGGGGCAGATGAGCTCCTCGGGCTCGGGGGAAGGCAGCTCGTTGTCGTTGGCATCTGAGGAGGGGGCAGGCTCCTCGGGCAGCGGGATAGTGGGCTGGGCAGCGGTGGACTCGTCCAGGTTGCCGTTGGCGTTGGCGTTCCCATTGTCCATGTCGGCCAAGGTGCCCACGAAGTCCTGGGAGGGGCTGGGCTGGTAGAAGGGCGTGCCCTCCATGCCCCCGGCCAGCGTGTTGAAGCGCTGGTACAGCAGCTTCTGGATGTTGGGCCCGCCGGGGCCCTCGGGCTCTGTGATGGAGCTGCGCTTCTTGAGGGGCCGGGGTGCGTTGGCCAGCTTCCGGCGCAGGGCCTCCAGGTCTGCATCGCTCTGGTAGCGCAGCGGTGAGTGCACGATGGGCGTGAGCTTGGTGGGGCTGAGGGGCCGTGGCAGGCTCTCCACCGTGCTGCCCTCCGAGGGAGCGGCCGGGCCCTCCGGCTCGGGCTCCTTCTCTGCACATTCTGCAGGTGGCTGGGGCTGTGAGGACCCGTGGAGAAACGGTAAGGGCGAGGGGGATGTCGACCCTGATGGTAAGACGGGCTTGCCATACACTGGAGAAGACAGAAGCAGAAGGCTTTCAGCTCAGCGCTTGGGCCGGGGGCCAGGCCCTGAGCACCGACTCCTTGAGATGCTGGGCTCCTGCTACTGCTGCTGCCACCAGCTCCTGGCTTATGCTCCCCAGGAACCCTCTGCCCAGCGCCTCCCCAGCTCCTTTTGAAATCTGTCTCTCTCATGTGTGGGGTTTTACATCTGAGTTTCTAGGACTGGGCTTTTTATATGTGTGGTACTGGAGTTTGAATTTAAGGAGCTTGAGCTAAATCCCCTCTTGAGACAGGTTCTAGGTTGCTTAGGCTAGGCTTAAACTTATGATCTTCCTGTTTCAGCCACCCAAGTAGTTGGGATTACAAGTGTGTGCCATCACACCTGTCTTGAATTGGTTTTTTTCAAAAGAAGAAAAGCTTGCTGATCTAGCTTTCTCTGCTTCAAACAAGCCTGCCTTGCTTTCTGCCATAGCTGAAGAGAAAACCACTAAGCATGCGTCAGAACTGTGACGAACTCAAGACAGGTGTGAGGACCCCAACCCCAGCCCAAAGCAAGGAGTTTTGACCTGAGGCTTAGATGCATTCCCCATAGCGAGAACTCTGCCCACAGAGAACACTGTGTATGTGGCTGGCACAGCAGAAACTCCTTGAGCACAGGTCAGTGCTGTAGCTGCTGCCCAAATCGTGCCCAGGGAGGGCCCAGCCGAGGCCTGGCATGCAGGGGCTTCCTGCTAGGTTTTAAAATACCGCTGACCCCTGTGGGATGTGTAGGACCAAGCTCCAGTCTTTGCCTTCCTTCCAGAGGAGCCTCAGCTCCATCACCCGCCAGGGCCTGGCAGAGGCCCTCCTCCCAAGTGCCCATGCTAGGGCTTGGGCTCAGTCAGGCGAGGGGCCCGGAGGGCATTGGCCAAGTCCCACCCTGTTCACAGACCGTCCAGGCCCAAGTGATCATGAATGGGAGGAAAAAGCACATTCTTGGCTCTCACCCTTGTAGTGGTGGGCTTTCCTAAGCAGTGTAGGGAGGTGGAAGCTTGGACAGGAAGCAGGAGAGCTTCAACCCATGTGCAAAGCAGTTCAAGTGCCTCAGCGCCTTGTCCTATCTCACACTGACCCCCAAGGCCTGACTTTATAGGGAGCATGAATGTCTCTCCTTGTCCTCATATGGCCCACATGGAAGGCTGTGGACCCCTATTTTTTCCCCCAGCCCCGAGAGGAAGGTCTTGCCCACTGTACCTGCTTTCACTGACTTGTTCAAGGCGCCGTGCACCGTGGGCTGGTAATTCTTAGGTGGCGTGGCTTGCTGGAGGTACATGGAGTATATGGAACTTGAATTGACCGTCTGGGGTCCTTTCCTGGGAGACTGTGGCCTTGACCCCTTATCAGCCAGAAAGGGTCTAATGGCCACTGTCAGTGGGAGTTCGGGTTTGCCATCTCCAGCTGGAAATGCAGGCGGCCCTGCTGGTGGGTACGTGGGACTTGGTGGCACAGATATCCTCTGCTGAATCTGCTGTGAGGAGCCAGGCTGGGCAGTGCTGCCTGCTGGGGGCAGCGGAGCAGGTTTCTGCCGACTTGGCGGGCCTGCACTGGGTCGGGGCAAGCTCCCCTCTTTCCTTCTCTCCAGAGAGCTTGTCGACCCTGGGCCCAGGGGTATAGGGCTTGGGTATGTCCCATAGCTTGGAGGCAGCGGTTTGGCTATACCAGGGATGGGAGGTGGCCCTTTACCAATCTCGATGCCCTAAATTTAAGTGTTAAAAAGAAAAACAAAGTCACCCTCTGAAAAGTTTAGCGTATTTCCATCCACAGCTACAAGAGAATGCACAGCAGGATTTATAATCCTGCAAATCGGCTTGTGAGCAGGACACAGCACGTGCTGCTGGGCTCCTCACTGGTCTGCATGCCTGAGGCAAGTGGTCATTGGTGCCTGCACGTGTGCACTGCCCAGCTCGCTAAGCTCTGTGGGCAAGGTACCCCCCATGGGACTGCCCCACTGCCTGAGAGCTGGTGGCTCGGTGGGAAGGAGGGCGGCCTACCAGCTTCTCTGTGGCTCCCAGCGCCGACAAGGGTAGAGGCTGGCTTGAGATGGCGCCCTGCTTCAGGGTCCCCTCCGTGCCCAGCTCCTTCCAATCTGAGCCAGGCGCTGGTGCTGGCTTCACCGAAGAGCCAGCATTCTGCTTTAATGTCGGCCAGCTGCCATCATTAGCTTGAAAAGAACACAGAATTTAACTGAAATTTTCCTGAAACGAGGTAAGCCAACCTCAGAATGATACCCTTCAGGAACAAAGACGGCACTGGGATTCCGCATTTTAGAGGAGCTTCTGTAACCAGATGGTGGCTGCCACCCATGCCAAGCGAGGACCCTCATCAGATGCTCACAGGTCAGCCCCGGCCAGGGGCAGGAGCACACAGGGCACACCTGCTAAAGCGCAGGTCGGGCCTATTGCATCCACACCAGACACAGCCAGTGTTGGTGCCGCTCTCTAAACATCAGGACACATACAGCTCTCTACAGCAAGAAGAAAGACTGTTTCAGTGTTTTTAAGGTTTCTCTTTGGACTCTGTAACAGGTTTGACCTGTACTACTTCCATGGTTAAAACGGCTCCTCGAACATGAGGAATCCCTTTCACCTACAACAATCTATGTTCCCAGGAGGCCAGTACAAGATCCCATGGAGCTGGGGAACAGGAGGAATGGCTGTCATTCCATTGCAGTGATCAGAAAGCCAGTCATCAACCCAAGAGTCTAGGAAAGCCACTGAAAAGATCTGTTTTTAAAGAGCATTTTCCAAACTGACAATGGCATCTGGGATTGTTGTGTGCCTGACTCAAGTGCCTCTCGTCTTGAGGTGCTCTGCCCTGGCCAGAGCTCTCCGCTTGGCAGTAGCCTGAGCAGTCAGAAATCGCCTGTCCTCATACTGTGCTTGAGCAAACTTCTGCCTGCTAACAGTGAGGGGGGCTTTTCGAATGTGCTACACAAGCAGAGAGCTGTGCACAGCCTGTCCGCAAGCTGCCGCCCGCCCTGCCCCTCACTGCCGTTTCCACCTGCTGAGCAGCTGTCCAGGCCGCGGGGCCTCTGAGGCCAGCAAGACTCACCTTACTCCAGGGTGGCTCCTTTAGACGCTCGTGTATTTTCACTGTAAAGACACACTTTCTTTTCACTGTGATGGGAGACTCTTGCCTTGACAATAAAACTCGAAATGAACTCAGAAAATCATGGTAACTTTTGACAAGCAACCAAAGAAATTTGCCAAAATGAAACGCTTGCCGTGCAGCACCTGTCACTTGGTGTGCTTCCCCCAGCTCTGCAGCACTGGGGAAAGGAGGGACTGTTTTCCAGTCTAGATGCCAGAGCAGACCCTTGTCAGTTTGGAAAGACAAACAATTGCTGATTGGCCTGTCAGAGGAGAGCACGGAGCCCCTGAGCCTACTGGCTGACATACGGTTTACAAGGGGGACTGCAGAGTGCTGTGTGGGGCCGTGACTAGGCCCGATGTCCAGGTCTGAAACTGTCCATGTGCTGGTCACTCTGGGTCTACTGTGGCCACCTGTGTGACACAGAACCAGAATAAGCCGGCAGTGAGGAGTGAGAGTCCCCATAAGGGGACATCACCGCTGGCTTCTCACTGGAGTCTCCGCCAGCACAGGAAGACGCAGGTGGCCGGTAGCTTTACCCCAGTGGAAGGCCAAGGGAGGCCTGAGACAGGTTCCTGACGTCGTGTCTTCTGGCCACCCTGTGAGGTGGCCCAGTGCACACTGCAGAGAAGCCGGTGGGAACAGGCAACATCCTGGTTCGGGGAGTCCTAACCATGAGCTGGCAGAGGAGCTGCTCGCACTGTCCACCGCTGAAGTGATGGGCACACACTCCCAGCATGGACAGGGCAGGGCAGACCGCAGCAGCTCATCAAAGAACGGTGCTGTGAGCAAGTGTACATGCCGGCATGCAGCCCACAACAGAAACATTAGTGCAGGAGCGAGTGGTATTCTGGAGGGGGTGGGGTGCACTGCAACCCACCTGAGCAGTTAGTGAGCCCTGTCTCCAAGGAAAACCTAAAAGACCAGGGCTGGGGGCAGCTCAGGGCGAAGGCCTGGATTCAGTTAAGGAGACAGAAAGAGAAGTCTACACAGGGCTCTTGCACACATGGCCTGGCCATACCCTCTTCCTCCCCGAGAAGGAGCCCCGTGCTCCCCAGTGGGAGCAGCAGTGTCACTACAACAAGGTACCAAGCCAGAGAAAGTGACACAAGCAGAAGACCAGAACAAACTGGTCACCAATCCTGAAAAAAGAATTGAAAAACACAGCCCCAACAGCAGCAGAGTAGCAACACTTGCTTTCTTTTTTTGGGGGGGTGGTACTGGGAATCACACTTAGGACCTCACGCTTGCCAGGCAGTGCTGTGCCACTGAGCTAGGACCTGGCCCCAACACTGCTTTTTAAACAAAGCATGTGACCAAGGCATGCACTTCTGCGGCTGGTATTACAGCCCCAGTCTGAAACGGGACCTTCTGTGAGGGAGCCCAGACACCCCAGTGTGCTGCTTTGAAAACCACCTGATGCAGAGCCAGTGATGTCTAGCAGACTGGGCCTGGCAGCAGCGAGGCATCTACGTGGCCACCGAGCACCCTTGGAAGCACACATCTGTGTTGAAAGGGCACGGCGTTAATCCACCTTTAGCATTTTGAAAAGCCACAATAGAGATTGAATCAGAAGAGAAAATCTTCTAATTTTAGGGTCACTGTTACCATGGGGACACAGCTCCCACTGTCCAGGAGACTGTGGCTAGAGCCCGGCACAGGGCAGGTCATAAGGAGCCTTGCTTTGCACTGCCACTGTCCCCACACCACCCCAGCCCACGGCCAGGGCCACTCACCAGATTTAGATCTCCCGTGGGCAGCACTTGAGGACACAGTGAGAGACTGGGGCTTCACAGGGTCCCCCGGGACAGGATAGCTGCCAGCACTGGGGACTTGGATGTAAGGCCCTACAGCAGCGACTCTGCCGGACGTGCTCAGGGGCGACTGTGGTGATGACGTGCCATTCACACGGTTCAGCTGCAAATCAGGGGAAGTGAGGGTCAAGATCCTCCAAAGCCAAGAGGGATGCTAAGCCCAGGCAGCACTGCTCCGCGGAGGCTGTTCCCTGGACAGTCTGCACTGGGAAGCCCTTTCCTGGAAGAACAGAACTTGCTTGCAGTCACGCAGCTGCTGCCCCTGGAAACTGCCTGTGGGGAGCTGCCGGGGGAGGAGCAGATGTAAGAATGGCACAGCTCCCATTGGCCACTGCCTCCTCCTCCTGCTGCATGCCTGTCCCTCCCTGGCTAAGTACTCCATGTGCTGCCTCAGGCAGCAGTGACTTCCCCTCTTTGAGCCCATGCCCTGAGCCTCTAAAGTGGGGTAAGAGGACATGGGATGTGGGGCTCTGACCCTGGCCCCATGATGCTGCGTCTGCAAAAGGATTCTAATTTAAGATCCCTCAGTGGGCCTACAGGGGACCCGTAACCACCTGTGACCCTGCAAGGTTCTCTCTGCACTGTGAGCCCATGTCTCTGGAGGGAGTGCTCATGATCTCTGCAGTGCTTGCAAGGACCAGGACCTGCAATGCAGACACAGCTCTGCAGGTGTGCAAACTTCCTCAGCGAGATCCCTCACAGTGACAGGCAGAACTGGTCCAGTCATTTGAGGCAGGTGGCTGTGTCGTCAAGTTATGGGAAGGAGGCATTTGGTCAAATGCCACCCCAGATGTTTTTGTGAACACACTTAGACAGGACTAACATTTAAATCTGCAGATTGTGCAAGGCAGATCCGAGGAAAGCTAGGCCTCACCCACTCAGTGGGCAGTGTCCCAGGAGAGCAGGCTCTACAGTAGATGGCCCTGGACTTGGGCTGCAGAAGCAGCTCCTCAGGGACTTACAAGGTGTAGTCAGCTCTTCAGTTCTCTGACTTTTCAACCTCTGACCTGAGGAGCCCATTCCTGCAGGTCCAGGTCTCTGTCTCCCGTGTACATACACATGCCCTCGCCACCCCTGAGGAGCCCTGAGCATGCCCCTGGGGAGGCATACAGTGTTTCTCTCATGCCCTCTGAGTTGATAATCTTGTTCAAAGAAACTCATCTGAAATTATATTCATACAAACCACTGATCTTTAAACACTCCGTTTTTTTTTTTTTTTTTTTTAAATAGATCTGTTACTGAGAGGCTGACGGTAAGGCCCACAGAAGTGGCTGCTGCCCTCTTCCTCCACCACTGTCGAGGCTCTTTTCTCCTGAGCAGAACTGCTAAGCCCAAGCCTCCCTCCCCAAAGCATTCTCCTATCACCCAACTGCAAAAGCAGCAGTGCCAAGTGCACACAGGACCTCTGGGGAAGTGCCACAGCCAAGGACATGAGGGCACATACATGTACTGGGAAGTGCGTGTGTTTGCTGGTGTACCAAGCTGGCGAGTCAAGGGGCACCCAGCCCTGGGACTAAGATAGTGCAGAGGTGACCTGGGAAGAAATCCATTTTCAATTTGAAAAAAAAAAAAAAAGTAAAAGAAGACTGGGTACAGACAGTATGGCTAGCATAATTCCTACAAACTCAGCTCTGTCACCTCTGGAGAATAAGGTGAGAAGAATGGCCACCATTTGCCTTTACATACTCGTGTGCTGTTTCAGTTCTCATGCACTAAGTGTTTACCGTCTTCGAAATTCAAAATACCAAAGGTTTTAAAAAAGTACGTCCCTTATATAGCACGTTGCTTGATAGATTACAAAACCTGCAAACAACAGCCAGGTTGGATGGATCTGCTCACGAGCACCTGAGGCTGCACAGGTAGAGGAAGCCAGGCCAGGCTGGGGCCAGTTCTCAGCCCATGCATGGATGGTTTTTTTGATACTGGGGAGCAAACTTGCGCCCTCATACTTGTCAAGCAGGCGCTTATGCTGCTGAGCGAAATCCCCAGCCCTTTTTGGTCTTTTTGAGACAGAGTCTCGCTGTCTACCCCTGAACTCCTGGTGAGGATTACAGAGGATTGAAGACATGTGCCACCATGCCCTGCCTGATTTAGTCTTTGGGGAAGTAAATTTGCTACCACTGTCATTTTGGGGTTCACTGCCTGGGTTTCATCAGCTGTGGCGGGGAGGAGGGGAGGGGAGCCCGCTGCCATTCAGGGAAGGAAGGCTCTGCCCAAGCCCGCTCTCGCAGCCCGCTCCCCATGCACATGCCTGGATCTTCTTGCCGTAGAGACGCTCACGAAGCTCACTGATGCGCTTGTCCATGAGGGCCACCTCCATGTTGCGCTGGTTCAGGAGCTCCTTCTGCTGCTGCAACTTTGAATTCTGTTCCTGGTTGAGCTGATTACGAATCTACAAAAACAAAGAATATGTTTTTTTAAGGATTTGACTTAATTAAGAAGTCAAATTCTCACTGCCAAGAAGACGTTTTTAAAAAGAACCACCATGTCATTTCCGTGGTTTCAACCGTACTGCTGAAAACTGAAGCAAGAGAGACTAGGAGGATGCGGGTGCACCCTACTCAGAAGTCAGGAGCTGTTCTGGTGAGAGCACAAGTGCACGCACACCACACGGATGCAGAGCGCGGGAGGGAAAGACTGCAGGGCACCCAGAAGGTTAGAGGTCAGTGACACAACTCTCGTTCCCCTCAAAATAGTTGTCCATACTTTCATGTATATTGAAGTTCCTCAAAACAAAACCGGCTAAAATAACACCAGATTAATTAAAACAAAGCAAAACCGTGATAAAAGTATTTGCCTTCAAAGAGATGGTAGGAAATCCCCCTATTTGCTACACTGCCTATGGTCAGCCTCTCAAGGGATTTTCAGATCACTGGCTCCCACTTGCTAATGGTTGGGTGGGGAGGGAGAAATATATGTGATGTTTGATTCTCAGCCTGCGCACCGACAGGCTCACGGCCACTCACCAAGGTGGGGAGGGGTTGCTTGGTTTCCCGGCGCTCCAGGTCCCAGCATGGCACGGGTCCCAGGAAATGCCAGCGGCTCCTGTCCTGGGCCGCTGCCACTCACAGCCCTGGATTTCCACTTTCATTGCAGTATGGTCTGACTGATGCGTGGAATAATTTCATTTCCTTTGGACTTACTTAAGCATGTGCTATGAGCTAGTATATGGTCTGTTTTGGAGAATGTCCCTGGTGCAGCTGAGAAGAATGTGTATTCTGATGTTATGGGTGGAACAGTATAGATATCTACTAAGTGCGTTTGTTCAGAAGTTTGATTTAGTTCTACTGTTTCATTTCTGATTTTTATCTAGTGAATGTCTCTTTGTGACTGTGGCATGGGTATTGAGGTCTCCTAATATAACTGTATTAGGGCTTGATTTTTCTGTTACTGTTTTATATAGTTGGACGCATATGTATTTATGACTGTTATCTCTCCCTCTGGGATTGTTCTCTTTATAAGGATGTAGTGACCTTCTTTATCTCTCTTAATCAGTCTTGGCTTGAAATTCACTTTATCTTTTTTTTTTTTTTTCTCTTTTTATTGGTACTGGGGATTGAACTCACGACCGCCTGCTTGCAAGGCAGGTGCTTATGCCACTGAGCTAAATCCCCAGCCCCTGAAATTCACTTTATCTGCAAATAGAATAAGTACCCCTGCTTTTTTCTGGGCTTCTGTCAGACAGAGTATTGTTTTCCATCCTTTGACTTTCAGTCTGTGAATTTCTTTTTGAACTAAATGTGTTTCTTATATGCAGCATATCGTTGGATCTTGCTTCTTGATCCATTCTGCCAGTCTGTCTTTTTTTCTTTTTTTTTTTTAAATCGGTATCAGGGATCAAACTCATGACTGCCTGCTTGCAAGGCAGGTGCTTATGCCGCTGAGCTAAATCCCCAGCCCCTAGTCTGTGTTTTTTGAGTGGTGAATTAAGACCATTTACATTTATGGTTATAACCGATAGGTATTGACTTATTCTTGTCATGTTACTTTCCTGTTGCTGGCAGCCCCGTTTTTCCCTCTAATTATTTGCCTTCCCTGGTGAATTCCTTCTCTTGGGGTTTATGGAGCTGTAGTCCTTATTATCTGTTTCTAGAATGTCCTTCAGAACATTTTCAAGTGCTGGTTTGGTGGTCATAAATTTCCTCAGATGTTCTTGGTCATGGAAGTATTTTATTTCTCCATCAACTCTGAAAGATAGTTTTGTGGAGTACATCAATCTGGGTTGGAAGCTGTTTTCCTTTAGAACTTGGAGTACTTCACTCCAAGCTGTCCTTGACTTGAATTGTGCTGAGAAGTCAGCTGTGATTCTAATGGGCTTTCCTTTATAACTAATTTGTTTCTTTTCACTTTTAGGATTCTATTCTTGTGTTGAATTTCTGGAATCTTGACTATGATATGTGTGGCTGTAGATTTTTTTGATCAGTACTAACTAGAGTTCTATATGTCTCATTTATCTACATGTCAAATTCTTTTCTCTACCAGGAAAGTTTTCTGTAACAAAGTCATGAACATTTTTTTAATGTCGTTTGTGGTATCTCCTGCTTGTTCGTTGATTCCAATTAATCTTAAATTATTCTTCTTTGTCTCATTTAGCAGGTGCCGGATTGATTTCTCATGATCTCTTGGTATTTTTGACAAATCTTTCTTTTCCTGGCCGCTAACTGCAAGCCTGTCTTCAGTACCCGAGATCCTGTCCTCACACTAACCTAATGCGCTTCGAATACTTCCAGTGGAGTTTTTATTCTCCTAGATATCTCCTTGAATCTGCTTTATGGATTCTATGTGTTTCCTATGCTGAGCTTCTACAAATTGCTTAACTTGTCTATCTTTTTGTCTATGTCTCCTCAAGTACTGCTAAGCATGGTGCATATTTTGATAATCTCCATAATTATCTGAGAGATTCTTTCTGATTTCATTTTTTCCAGAGCCTCATGCAATTGCTTTGTTGTTACCACTTCAGAGAGGCCTGGTGGGGACTTTCAGATTGTCCCCCCTCTTTGCCCCTTGGATTTGCCTTTGGTGAACTGGATATCTGGGATTGCATTTTGCTTAAGTGTCTTTCCATATTTTTTTTTTTCAGTTTAATTCTTGGAGTAATACTTCTGCGTGCCAACGGTGGGCTGCCTCACTGGTGGTCGTTAGAACCCTTAGGGGATGAGCACTTCCTTCAGGTGCCTTCCAGGCGTAGCTGGTTTTTGGGTTTTGAGTCTGTTTGAAGATCTCACCTTTCCAGTTTGTTGGAGATGAGAAGCTGTTGCTTGTTTGACCTGGTCCCTGGTTCTCTGGCATTGTGCCATCGTATTTTCTGTGACTCTCAGTTAGTCTCAGTCATGGATTATCAGGAGCAACAGCACCAGCCAGCACAGTCCTCCACATCCGCTGCTCCCCTCCGCTGCCCCGTCCCTCTGCAGAGGCCTCCGGGGTGGCCAGCTGCCACCGTCACCGTGACTGTGAGTCCCCAGGTTCAAACAGCTCCCCTCACACAGTGAGCCCCGGCTCAGGGCAGAGGCGCCGCTGGCTGCCGCCTTCTTCTGCTTTAAAGCTTTTCTTTTCACCCTCTCTATGGGCTTCGGTTCCCAGTCCAGATTCTTCCAGGGTCCAGGGGACCCCCTTCCTTCCTTCTTTCTTCCTCATGATGCTATACTCTACACACAAATTTTAAGGCTTCTCTAACACTTAACTTCACTAATGTATCTCGCCGGCTGAATTCTGTCACACTGAAAATATGCAAAGTGAAAGACAATCACAAAGGATCAAATGCTATTTGACTCCATCCCTATGAAGTCTCCAGACTGGGCAAATACACAAAGAAAGAAAGCAGAGTCCTGATGGCCGGGCTCAGGGAACACAGGGCATAGAATGGTGACTAAGAGACAAGGGCTCTGGCTTAGGAGAGTGAAAAGGTTCTAAAACCGACTGTGTCGAGGACGCACAGCTCTGTGAAGACACGAAAGCCTGGAGCTCCACACCCTAGAAAGACGATTCCCTATTCACAAGTTACTGTGCACTTACCACAGTTTGTGCCTATTAAATTAGACTCCACTAGCCTTTGTTATTTCTACTTCCCAGACAGCCATCCCACAGTAAGGAAAGAGCCGGGAGGAGGAGGCCGTCCACAGAATGGTGTGTTACCTGTAGCTCCTGGTACAGTCTCTTCAGCTCCACGGCTGCTGGTCCTGTCAACTTGCCATTGTAAGACTGGAATCCATTCAGTTTTCCTTTCTTTAAATCCTCCAATTGCTGACTAAGCTGATCAACTCTTAAAATTGCAGTCTGTACTTCCTGCTTCTTCTCCTGGAACATGGCACTGAATCTTTCTATTTCAGCAGCTGTAATTTCCCACCAGAAAAACAAAAAAATTATTCGATTAACAGCCTGACTTCTTTATTTCTATACACTATACTTAACTCTGGTTATTATTTATTGTGAGCCCTTGGACTCAAGTGTGTAACACTCTACATGAGTACTTGCACAGCAGACAGTTTTTCTGCACCAATTCCTGAATATTCTTTAGAGCATTCAGTTGAAGAGCTCGCTTTTGTCAAGCCACTTAGGACTCTCAGGCACCAACTGAACAAAGGCCTTGGGAAGGCCTTGCTCATTGCTATAACATAAAGTAGCTCAACAAACTGATTCAAAAACAAAATCAGAGCTCACCCAGGTCCAAAAAGGAGTGCCTGTACAGTTTATCTTAATGTATAGATAAAATTTAAGTTGTTCCTGAAAATCGATGTTCATAATTATGGATCCTGGAGCTGCCCCTTCCCAGTCCAAAGGGCTGCTGTCACCAGGGTGACTCTCTAGACTACATCGCTGAGGCTGAACTGAAATATCCCACTGTATTCCATAAACAGGCACAATTACTATATGCTAATTAAAAATTTAATTTAATTTGATTTTTATTTTGGTACTGGGGATCGAACTCAGGACCTTGCACTTGCCAGGCAGATGCTGTGCTGCTGAGCTAAATCCTGTTTTCAAAAATTTAAAAGAAGTTTGAAAACAAAATGCTAACACCCTGAACTAATCAATAGACATTTCTATATGTATTAAATTACCACACTGAACCTGTAAATATGCATAAAATTACATAAAGAAACAACAGGAAGCCAGGCATGGGTGCATGCCAGTAATCCCAGCACAAAAGACGTCGAGGCAGGAGGATTGTTAGGAGTTTTGACGCCAGCCTGGGCTACATAAGTGAGTTCAAGGCCAGCCTGGACTCCAAAGCAAGATTCTTGTTTCAAAAAACCAAAGCTACACCAAAACAAAACAAAACAACAAAAAACTCCAAATAAACACAACAGGAATCTGATGTTAACACAATCCTATTAATTCAAACACAACCTAACTTAAATTTCATCAGTTTCCCATGGACATTCTTTATTTTTTGCATAGGGGAATGTATAGTTAAAAAAAAAATCAACTGGCCTAACCATCCCCATCTTCCTAGATACACATAACGGAGTAACTTTAGGGCACTTGCTGGAACAAAACTGCATATGGCTTCGAGGCTGGAACTGCCCATGCCACAGGAATGTGGGTGTGCATGCAGTGGGCCATGGGCACGTACACAGGTTGCCATTCATAATTTTGCTGTAATCCACTTGTCCTCTCATGGCACGAATTTTCTTCAGCTTGTTTTCTTGGGCTTCAACTCGTTCTTTCAACTTCTGAAGCTTCTCGTTTTCAGAAATAGACTGCTGCTGGCGACGCTCCTGTTGCTTTAGAAAGTGTAAACGTTGCTCCTGACAAAGAGCGGAAATGAGCTTTGTCAATTGAAGCTTTTGATTCCCTCAACACACTTAAAAACAAACGAACAAACAAAAAACAACTGTGTTCCTCAGTCTCATCTAACATAGCAAGTACTGAAGAAGCACTAAGGAACCCGCACACATCAACCTATGCCCAACGAAATTATCAGGAGTACACAGGATGACACGGACGAGCTGGAGGATTTACGCAGGATTCACCGGACTGCCCCACTCATATAAGGGCTGCACCTCTGCAGGACACAGAGCAGTGCAGAGGCACTCGGCAGGGCGCAGCCTCCACAGCCACCGTCTCTCTGCCCGCCCTGCCAGCCCGCCTGCTTCCTACTGTCAGGATCAGGGTTCCTGCTGCTGCAAAGCGCTCCCTGTGTTTCTCTCACTTCACTGTCTACAGGAATGGGCACTGGCCAGCAGAGGAGTCTTCATGTGAGAAAAGGAAATCAGCAAGGGGATAAACCTCCAATTTGTAAGTGACACTGAGCAATCAAGGAATGTTTATTTCCTGCAGGATTAATCTCTTCCAAAATGAGAAAACATTGCATAACAAGATAATATTAAAATAAAACCGTGTGGAGCCAGGCTGGGTGGCACACGCCTATAATCCCAGCACACAGGAGGCTGAGAGGCAGGAGGACTGCTGTGAGTTCAAGGCAACCTGAGTGGCATAGTGAGACCCTGTTCTCAAAACAAAGAGACAAACAACATGCGGTACCCTTCAGTTGTTCCCTGTTACTGTGAAAACATACATTTAGGATAACAACATGAAATCTTCATGATCCTATAGGTATGCGTAAAATATACTTAAAGAGATGTTTAGGTGTGACTATGCAGGCGTCGCTACACATGAAGGCTCAAATGTTTAAGATGTGGCATTAACTTGTGATCAGTCCTGCTGCTTAAAATACTATTTAAAAAAAAACAGCAATATTCTTGGAAAATAAATAGAATTAGAAAATTCTGTAATTACTTAATAGTATGTACACTTTATCTTAGAAATCTTATTAATGGGATGAGATACTTTCTAATTTTAAAAATTTGTAATTGTTTTTCTTCTTGTAAGCCAAATAAACTTTGAGACTTTTTAAAGTAAGTCCAACTTAAATTATTATTTACATAAAATCAGACAGTATAATGAACTACACAGTCAGTCAGTGAATAGAAGAAACTGGCTTGACTGGTCATTTGGTCATGAAGGAACTCTCTCTAAAGAAGAAAGCGGTAAGAACTTGCTAAAGTTTAACAGCTCTCTTTAAAGCAGTTTCAAAAAATTTTAACATCATTCCCAGCATGAACTGTTCCTAGCGGGCAAGGCAAGGGCAAGGGCAATGGGCCTGACTTCTTGTGTCTATCATGTACACTAAACTGGGACTTGGAAAAACTCCAAATCTGGGGCTGGGGATTTAGCTCAGCGGCATAATTGCCTGCCTTGCAAGCAGGCAATCTGAGTTTGATCCCTGGTACCGATTAAAAAAAAAAAAGAAAGAAAAACTCCAAATCCTGCTCTACAGAGTTTCAACCATGAATATAGAGCTCAGTGAGCATCGAGTGTGCCCTGCACTGTCACCAGCCACAGGTGTCCGATACACAGTGGCCCTCCCAGAGGCCTGTCAAAGTGGTCACTTATCTAGGATGCGTCACAAACTGCAGTCTCCTCCTTGTGAACACACTATGAGGAAGACAGAGGTGAGACAGCATCCTCTTTTCCAGACATTGTCTACAGTGTGGGCAGGGATGCCCACTGCCTGTCCTGTGGTGTCTGTGTACACGTGCCCAAGGTCGAAGGCTCTTGTTCTGACAATATCACAAAGCTACAGGACCCTCTTGTCACAGGAGGGCTCCACAGACAGAAAGACACTGTGCTCAGCACCTTTCTGGTGTGGCCCCAAATAATGAGCGGCCGGCCTCAGTTGAGACTGCCTCCTCCCGCAGCCTCCTGGGACACTGGGCTGCAGGCAGGCCCAGCACGCCTCGCTGGACCACGTTTTCAACAGTGCTGCTTTAGCTCTGCTCTTGTAACTTACCTTGGCCACCAACATTTGCTGCTGATTTTCAATTTGCTGCTGTTGCCTTGCTGCCATATCCTGGAGCTCTGAGAGTGTGAGTTCAACTCGTGGATTTGCAACCTGCAAAGATCAAGAAGCGCTCAGGATAGGCAAGCATCTGTGGCAGCCTCATTTCCAATGGAGCAACACACATGTGGGTGTTTTTACACAGATTCCCTGAAAGTTAGGAGAATACGTATTTTTTTGGTAAGAACTCTTCCTAATTGTGGACTACTTTCATTATATGTACATAATAGATAAAAATGCTTTCAAAGTAACATTTTCTCATGCATAAACATCTGATACTATATCTAACAAGAGGCTCACCATTAAGCACACCTTTGCAAATGTGTATCTTAGGCGACTTTCCTCTGTTTGGAGTGGGAACTTAATAGGTACATTTGAGCATATGGGGCTGTCAAATGTTTAAGGACACACAACCAACAAAGTAAATATGCAGATGACACCAAGGACAGAAATCATCTCATTGTTACCTACTCTTGAAAATCTGAAATAGATTCCGAAATACAAATACTCCATTAAATCACCTTGAGCATGACCTATAGGAGGAACCGGGAAACATGTAGAGGAGTGGCAACTAGCCACACAGCCACCTCTGTGCAGTGCCCTGAACCGCATGCTTCCAGCACTATCAGCACACTCACTCCCACACGGAAAGACCTGAGACAAGGGTCAGCACCGGCCCCCAGACCACGCGGGCAGACCTTCCCCTGTGGCACACGAGACACTGGGCCCTGCTACCTGTGTGCTACCCCCCACCACCACGAGGTGGGGCTGTGATCCACAGCTGGGCGGAGTCAGAAGAGGGAGGAGGAGGAACATGCGGAGCAGCCTCCCCAGAAGCTCTGTCTTCCTCAAACCCTTGACTTCCAGCCACAGAGGTCACAAAGTCCCTCCTTGAACTCCACTTCCTACACAAAAGCTCACACGTACCTCAGGATCCCTTTACCTTCTATGACTCTTAGTCTTCACAATTCTTAACAATCCCAGTGCATGACTCTGCTTTGTGTCCAAACTTTTAGCAGTTTTACGTGGAATAACTTCTGTCTGTAACTCCCCAGGTAACAATGTGCAGCAAGCCTTTTTCTGAGACTTGGTATCTGGGTTGTGAACATCACTCAGTGACAAAGCATCTGCCTCACACAAACATGGTCCTGGCTAACAAAAACCCAGATATTTCAACCAGTTACAGAAATTTCCATTTGAAAAGAAACATATTTATCCCACCAAAAGAAGTCTAGACTTGAAGACTGTTTCTACTGTTTCTAACGCTCAAAAAGGGTGACTAATTTTCACCCAGATTTCCCAGTCACTACAAAAGATTTCCTTTTCTTTCTTTCCTCTGTTTAAAACAGCTGTCATGAATTTATTAAGCTTCTTCCATTGGAGTCTTGGAGCAAGCCATCCACGCCAGGCATGCAAGGAGTGTCCACCAGCAGACCCGAGGCTGCAGGCTAAGGTGCCAGGGCCTCTGATGCACTTGTTCTCAGGCTTGGGGAGCTCTCTGGGAAGGACAAGGCATGGCCACATGTCTGGTCCCCCGCTCTGTGGGTCCCCACACAGCACTGCAGCTGTACCTGGCGCTTGGGCCTCCCACTGACAGGAGTTCAGGGTTACTCCAAGCACACAGTCACAGTGTAGAGGTCGGGGTGGAAACACAATCCTCAAGACAGCTGGGTTTCTGTGAGGAACCACCCAGAACTGTCCTTGACTCTCCCTGAAAAGAAGAGCAACTGCCATCATGGATAAACAGTGGCCATGTATTGATCTGTTCAGAGCTAACTAGGCTATTTCCTTGTCCCTTCAATTGGCTGTAGGCAATGTAAATTGGGCTGGCTGTGGAGCTGATGTGTCACCTCTGAAGCAAAGGGATAGGTCTGTGTTACCCTGCCCAGTGATTTCCCCAAAGGTGGCTAAGCTGGGTGGAATGGAGAGCCCTGCTCTACCCTCTGGGCTGGGCCAAGCCTCGAGCAAGAAGCTATGACTTCCCAGGGCAAACAGGATTGTACATCAGAGCTGGAGCACCTACCCTCAGCTGTGTTATGCAGGTTACTCTCTGCATTTCCTGCCCTCTGTTTATTGGAGGTGATCTCAGACCTCTGAACTAGCCTAGTTCATGGTAGGCATGGTAGTAACGGGTGTCACGTACTTCCTGCCACTCTCACTGTCACTCATCCTGAGCCACTCCCCTCACAGAATTAATAAGACCTAGGTTAGGCTCTGGATGAGGCCTTTGTTCCAGAAAACATCATGTTGGCTGGACTCAAGACACCCCTGCTCCCTGCAACTATATATATGTCGTAGTGCCTTTATTTTCGCCATGGATTGCACTGCAAGTGGTAGATAGAAATTAACTCACCAGAATTCCAATCTCTGTGGGATTACAAATATAAACCTTCCTGGACCACGATGAGGATGGGAAAAGGGTTCTTTATACGTTTCAGAGCAGCCAACAGAGATTTTAGCTATAAATGGCACTTTTCCCCCTCAAAGCCTAACATACTTCCTTGGTACTCAGCTGACAGAAGACACCAGTTGATTTTGTCAGAAACTGAACACTTCTAGGGCTGGGGATTTAGCCCAGTGGCACAGTGCCTGCCTGGCAAGTGCAAGGTCATGAGTTCTATCCCTGGTACCAAAGACACCCCCTCCCCCCGCCAAAAAAAAAAACCAAAAAAAAAAAAAATCTGAACACTTCTTTAAGGCAAGTCGATCATTTCAGATGTTCCTATTCTAAGTCAAGCAACCAGCCTCCCCTTTAATTTTTTTTTTAACTCCGGAATCAAATTCACTGCCTCACACTTGCCAGGCAGATGCTTAAGCCACTGAGCTAAATCCCCAGCCCTCCCCTTTAATTGTTATGGACACAAACACCACTGTAATATTATTTGGGAAACCAAAGATATGATCCATAAGCTCCCATGGTTCCACAAGACACGGGAACAGGCCTGGTCTTGCTCAGATGTGGAGGACACGCCTCTGCCGCCTCTCTGGGGCCAAACTCCTCTCATCCTTCCAGGCTGGGCATGTGCCCTCAACTCCCTGCTATGGCTCCAGCCTTTTCCCAAGAACTGCAGCGCCATCTCTGACTGAGCTTCACTTTGCTCAGGGCTCTGCACCTGAGCACCACCTGTGCTTGCCTCTCCACCCCAGTGCCAGTCTCCCCAAATCGATTCACCTGGGTCTTTCTGCTGGCCACAGTGCCCTGCCCCCACTTCCTACCGCTGGATGTGTCCACGCCCTCTGCTTCCTGAAGTTCTTCCTGATTCGCTAAGGAATCCCTCTACCATTGTTCCCATAGGCAGGATGTTTACCCACTTTCTGGTATGGGAAGAACTGTTTCTAAATGAATTGTGAACAGGAGTCAGACACTTCATACACCTCAACTTACAATTCTGAGCAGAAGCACAGAAGGTCCTTGGGAGGACTGGTCAGGGGGCTGCGGCTCTGGACATCTGGTGTCTGGCTGTCCCCAGGCCTTGACCTCTTGTGTTTTTTGCTAGGCTGCAGCGCAGGTACTCAAGACTGTCCCTAAGCAAAGGCACTGCTATCAAAGGGTAAATGTTGCCAGACACCAGGATACTTACTAGCTTTGTCATATGAAAATGCTACATCTGCAGATCAAAAATGGTTTGAATATCAACAATGTCATGCAGTTCAACCCAACAGAAAAGGATTAGTTCCCCTTCACCCCTGAAAAATGGAAAACAAAGGTAACTTACCTCAAGAATAAAATAAGTAAGTAAACAAATAAATACATAGAACTCTCAGTGCCTATCTTAGAAAGATTATGAGAATGACAGTGCAGACAATCTCCCCACCCCAGAGGCACTAAGGGCTCTGGTGGGCGTGTGGCCGTGGCTTGCTTCCCACCGTGTGCCTCATTTCATGGGAGGCTGAAGGAGCCCAGCTCCATCCCTGCCTCTCCCTGGACAGGTCCACTCACGCAGAGGGGAAGGAACTGTAAGAGCAAATAAAGCGATTTTAAAGTCTAGGTTCTGGTCATGAAGAGACGAAGAAAGCTCGTTCCATCTGCTGCTTCCCCTCCCCTTCTCCCTTCAAATCCAACTAGGTTAAGTTTTAACTTCCTAAAGGCCATAAAACAAAGGCCTGAGGTACTAGCTCCTGACATCCTGGGTCTTCTCTATCTGGTAGCCCCGTCACAAATTGTGTTAATTGCATCAGATTGTATTAGATTGTACATTCTTCACAGAAATAGCTTCGTTTATATCATAATAATACCTGTAACTGTAAATGTGTGTCTTCCTTTTCCCCTGGGTAAAAGATTGATATGTTAATCAATGCTCTCTTCTGTAAAGAATTGTAAAATCTTACCCAATTGATATGTTAACCATTGTTGCCCTCTACAAATAGAAAGGTTGTGGTGCTAAAGTAAGGTAATTATGTCAGGAAACTCAGAGATAAAGTCTGCTGACTATGCTAATCAAGATTGGGAAGTATGTCAGAACCAAGCCACACAGGAGCTAGGTGACCTAAAAATAAGCTGTGCAAAACAAGACAGTTAATCAACTCTGACCCACTGGTCACCCCTCATGATCTGACCAATCACAAATGGACAAATCACCAACTGTTCTGCTCTAACTGCTATGATTGGCTTCTGTAACAATGCTTGCTTGCTTTGCGGTTTTCATCCTTAAAAACACCAGCCTTGCCCCAACTCAGAGTTCTCCGTTTCCACCTGTTTGGAGGACCCCGTGTACACGGAATAATAAAAACCCCATTGTTTTTACATGAGAGCGAGGCCCTTGGAGTCTTCCTCGCGACACCGGTCTAACATTTTGGAGGCCCCAGCGAGATCAAACTGAGAAGAGACCTCCTCGCAGAGGGAGACCCCAACGGCACCTCTCTGGGGTAAGTAGTACGGCCAGTTTTTGTTTACTTTCATTTTGGATCGATCCGCCATTTCCTTTCGCCCCAGGCCAAACTCCGGCTCTACTTCACGGGCAAATTCTGTTCTTGGGTGATCGGGGGACGCCCCACACGGTTTTCCGTGACTCACCGTCTGCGATAGGATTTTCCTATCGATCTGGGGAATTTCA